CCATCTTGCGCCCCATAGCTTGGGGGTCACAGTGCAGTATTAGCCAAAGTGATGACAGGCCCAGAGACTTCACCCACTAAAACTAACCTGCATCACAACTTTATAGCCTTATACTACAATTTCACAAACATTGTGATGATTATACTGGTCCCACACAACACATGAAACACAAGCAGTACTCAAGTGAGCTTCCTGTCTTTGGAATCTGCCGTCGTTACATATCCATTTAGCTTAGCTTTCAAACTAGCAAATGGTTTACTTATTTGTATTTATAATATATCATTTATTGTGTTTTATTCTTTGTATTTTACTATAATTGTCCAAAGAGTGAATATTTAGGTATTAAATTCATTGCAAAGTGTTTACCTTGGGTACTCCTTGTACGTAATAAATAAACTTAAAACTTAGAGCAGCTGTGCTATTTAGCCCCTCCAGGCTACCTTCGATATTTTCCTCATGGAAGTTTGATACAGTGTACAAAGCTCATTAACGTAGATATTACCTCCCAGAGCAACTGTTCCTTAGTGTTTCACACTCATTTTGGGACAGTCACAGATGAACTTCCTCCTTGGGAGCTGTGCTTCTCGAAATATCTAATTGGTGACATGAGCTTCACCCCCTGACTGAGGGACAGGGCTGTTTCACACCCACGTATTTGATTGTTTTGTGCATATGAATGAGACTAGTTGGTCTATGAAATTGACTGTGTGATGTCATCCCCAGGTCGTGTTGACCTCACAGTTCTTTTGGACCTCAGACCTGCAGGCTTGGTCATCGGACTGGTTCTGAGGCTGAAGCTGGTGCCGACTTAGATACTCGGCTACTTCTGTCCAACATGGGGGCAGTTCAAGGGTTTGTGGCGGTTATTGCTGAATGGCACGGGGGTATATTTTTCATCCTATGGGGCTTAGCGAAGTCTGTCTGCCCATCCATTCATCCATCCATCCATCCATCCATCCATCTTCCATACCTGTTTGTCCTACACAGGGTCACAGGGGTCCAGAATGTATCTTGGAAACTATGTGCACAAGGTAGGTGATAACCCAGGATGGAGTGCCAAGCCATGGCAGGGCACATATCTCATTCGCACACATATTCACACCTACGGATCATTTGGTAACTCCAATTCACCTCGGCATGTTTTTGGACTGTGGGGAGAAACTGAAGTACCCTGAGGAAACCCCATGACGACACAGAGAGAAACACTCAAATTCTACACATGTGGAGCCATGGCGGAGACTCGAACCACTGAGCCACTGTGGCACCCCTAGTTGGGGAAGTGAACTGCAAAATGCAGGAATGAGCTTCCTAGGTAACATCCCATCCTTACAACATGCACAAGTCAATAGAGGAGGACGGGGGGTGTGTTGTGTGGGAGTGGGGGGGTGCGGTTGCTCTTCCAGAACCAACTCTGAAACAGGTGCCCTTCTGCGCCCCCCCCAACCATGAATACCTAAACTCTACCCTCCCACCTCCTGGCCCTGTTTCCTGCAGCACTGAACCGTGGGTAGCTCCCCCCCTGCCGTGACCAATGAGAAGCCTGGATATGTGAACATGTGACCACGCCCCACCCTGTGTCCTTAGTCCCTCTGCATGATTAGGGATTCAGAGGCCATTTCTTGCATGGCTGGGCATGAAGGAGCCTCATTATGCATAGACATGCACAGGCAAAGCATGTCGGTACCGAATGAAAAAACCATTACACAACAGGAATCTGCTGTTCCTGTGAAGTTGCTATCTCTGCACATGGCACAAAGTCTGGAGCGGCGTGAGGGAGCCAGTGATCCACAGGCACCAGACAAGGTTCTATCATCCATACTCCAAGCATAACCTACCCAATAAAGAACGATACCTGCCATCCTCCTGCAGCCCGAGTACCTCAGCGGGCAAAGTCTCGGTGCCTCTGATCAGAGGGTCGCTGGTTCACACCTTGGCTTCAGCAGAACAGTCATATATTCATGGGCCCTTGAGCAAGGCCCTTAGCCCGCAGCTCCCGGGCTGCGACTGACCCAGTGCTGTGACCCCTAAGCTATGGAGAGCAAGATGGGGTTAGGGAAAAGAAGAATTCCAATGTACTTGTGCAAACAAAGGATTTTTCATAGATTTTTATTATTTATCATTTAAACCCTGCATTCCGCATGGCTGAGACACAAACTGAGCAGAGATCAGGAGTCCTCACTGACTGGGGCCACAACTGTGACCTTCTGCTGCAAGAATTATTTTGCCAGCAAGGCCCATAAACACCTACTCACCTGTATCCTCACTGCGGGACATTCCAAAATATTTAGTTTTTTCCTGGAAGGGGTTAACGGATACCAGGGTCATACAGGGATCGCATTCTCAGTACTGTCTCCTGGAACTCCTCACAATAATGTTTCACAAACATACGATCACTGATCCTGACAGAATATGAAGTCTCTTTTTCAAAAGGAAAGCTACACCTCTTTAATGCCAATGTTTTCCATTTTCCAATCAGGAGAATGACACCTGTGCCAGATAAAATGGACTGGATCAGGCAGAGGCTAATCTTTAATGCAAAGTGTTTAGCTTTTTGGACGGGGCAGGGGCAGTGAACCCATAATGAAGCTATAAGAAGGAATAGATCCACAGATGGACGAAAGATTGTAATTACCTCACACAAGTTCAATCATACTAAGTCAGACTTAATACTAGGTTCATAAAGGGTGGAAAAAAACTCCAAACCGTTGTATCCTTGAGATGTGTTGCCATGTTGCTTCGTTTTCCCTTCCCTTCAGTTTGGAGGGATTCATCTGGCCCACCTAATGTGAAATCTGAAGTTATTTATTGTCACACAAGTTAAAGATGAGACACCCCCTCAGCCGTGACATGTCTCATCCCACGTGTCCCCTCCACAAGTTTACCTGCTCCTTCGGTTCAAATCAGGACACTGGAAATGGTGCCAGACCAAAGCCTGTAATGCACTGGACTGGACCAGACCGGATCAGACCGGACTGAATGGCCTAAGCAAAGGTTCGTACCAGAATCATCTGGTCTAGACCGGATGATGGTTCCTCTTCAGACCGAAGATCCCCAGATCACCGTGTCTTGTTTTAAAAATGGATTCATACCACCGACGTGCCAAAAATATTATGAGCATATTATGTTATGTGAAATGAATAATGTAGGTACAACAGCGCATGTAATGGTCTGAGATATATTACATAACATTTGGTACTCGAAGTCAACATGTATGCAGATTAAATGGGCAGAGATTATGGGCAAATCATTATAACCTGACAAGACGACCTGGTTAGTGGTTTGTGGTTTTTCCCTCCTCGGACCACTCTCAGTAAGTACTCACCACGGCTGACTGTGAGCACTGGAGATGTTCTGACCCAGTCCTCTGGCCCTAATAATTTGGCCCTTGTCAAAGTCACTTAGATTTTTATCTCTGCCAATTCAACATCTCAACTATGAGTACCGAATGTTAGTACTTGCTTCACATGGGGGCGGGCGGAGGGAGTTGTAGTGATTTGGCTCATCAGTCTAACCTAATTTTCAGTTCAAAAGCCTAAAACCTGCCCCAGAGGGCACCATTATAACATTTTTTTGGGAGTAGCATTTCAGAGAGCTGTTTAGAGGGACGGAATGATGTTATCAGCCAAGCATATCAGTTATGCACAGTGCCCAGGTATAGATGCTCAGATCAGCATAAATGCAAGACATCAGCCTCCCTGGGTCCTGGACTCTGTCCTTAACCACCAGCCTCCATACCACCCTGAAATCTGCCTAAATCACAGGGGGCATCCTGGAGGAACAGAATTAACGAGGAACGGTGAAGTCCACACCAACATCCCGTCGAGCAGATATTTGACCCCTCTGCCCCTTCTCCCCTCCCTTCTACTTGCTCCACCCCCCATACTGTGCTTTCAATGGCTGAAGTGCACCCAACCACAAAAATGGCTGCTTCATTGACCCTGCCTGGCCCTAACTCTGATTGGCTCCATTCTGAACGGCAATACGTTTCCCATAGGAAAAAGGCTGTCAGTACTCAGCTGGGTTCATGGGCCAAACAAAACAAAAAAAAAGACCATAGGCCTACTCTTCACCGGTCAAGGCTCACCGTACTTCCTTCCTGTCATGTGACACAATTACGCCCATTCTCGGAGATAAGGTCCTGGTCGCCGTGTCTCCAGTTCCTCCACTGCTAAGCTGTCTGCTTTTTATAAAGGTACGGTGAAGACAAAGTGCATTAGATACTCAGGCCTGTCACCCCAAGTCACAGCATAGTAAGAGCCATTTTTAACAGCAGACCCACAAAGCCAGAATTAGAAACATAAACCAAGATGATTACTCAAAAAAACCCTCATATTTACAAAGAAAACCATATTGAGAAAGACAACCATGCATTTGTCCTAAACCAGAATCATGGCAATACAAAGGAAACACGGATGTCTAGGTTCTTACCAGGTCTGCATGAACTCGGTCAGAGTGGATTTCACTGTACGGACCTCCTTGTTCTCGTTGAGTTATGAGGCAAAGGTTAACTGAAATTCAGTGACTCTCACACAAAATCGTACCAGTTTCTCGCTTTTAAATGCTCTCTACCCATCAGCCCTTCATGCAGAATAAGGGATTTTAAGAATACATCAGTGTTTACAGCCTGTAATGTTTTATTTCTCCTCTTTATTTCCCTTGCTGCTGTATACATTTACGACACACTTATCTTCCAATCGTAAAAGAGAATTCCTTGTGTGTGTAGAAGTACTTATCCAAAATTTCCTAAACGAATTTTCTAAAAAAAATACTTGTTAATCCCTTCATACAGCTGAAAGTGTCTGTTTTGAGTATTTCATGTAGTGCTTTACAGAGCAGTACGACGTGCAGGGCCAAAGAAACAACGTACCGTTATCACCACCCATGACAGTCGGATCTGACGACTCAGGTTGAATGCCAGCATGTGACAGTTACAGATTTTGTGCTTGTGCATTGTACAGACACAGCATTCGCTTTGAAAAAGCAGAATTCAAACACTCACACAGATTTTTTTCATTTGTATTGAAGAAAGTAAGAATGGCAGGTAATGCATGTTTTGCAGTCTGTCACATGAGAAGCACCAAGGTGCAAACAGACTCAGCAGTCTGAACATTTATGACATGTGACACTTTCTAGCACCTTTGCTGGCTTCAGGGACGGTGCTTTTATTTACATCATTTTATTACATTTCATGTAATTATCTTCAGCAGAATGTCACTGCCTTTTTCCCCTTACACTGTAATAAAAAATGAACAGATATGTGACAATCATCTACAGCTGTCAAAGAGAAAAAGGCACATAGACGGCGGGCTTTGAGAAGAGCCGTAGAACATTAAAAACGCAGTCTAAAATGTTATCAGGTCAACAGCTCCCTCTGCTGGTGAGAGTTATAACAACATTGTATTGCTCTCTGGCAGAGAAAATGAGGGGGGAAAAAAAAAAAACACAAAAAACAATACTACAAAATAAAACAAAAAATAAAATAAATAAAAAAAGGGTCACTCACAAAGTGGGTTTGTAGTGCCACCAGAAACACAAATAAACAATACAACCAGTATGTACTTTAAATTTAGATAAAAGGGTCAAAGAATGTTTGTATCTGCAAGTGTGGAGTTTGACATGACAGACTGGAAGGAACTAGCCATCCGGGGAATACCGGACACTACCAGGAATACGGACACGATGCCAGAAGCAAGATGCCTGACCCTGCATCAAGATGACGGGTCCTGAAGCTCAGAGCAGCTTCTCAGCACGTCATTCAGGAAGGCCAACACCTGGGCCTTAGCCTGCTCTGTGTTCGAGTCACCCCCAGGCAGCAGTTGGAGCTGCTTCAGAACCTCCTCCAGCTCCCTGAGCCTCTCCTGGGGCTGGGCCGCACCCGCGGGCCCGTCTCCCTCCCCGCGGTCGCTCCCGTCCAGGTGGTAACGCACCAGGTATCCGTGCAGGGTGGGGCCTGCCTCCCCTGCCAGGGGAGCAGCTAGGGCAGGCAGGTCACGGGGCTGCGCTAGGCCGAGCAAGTGCAGCATGGAGAAGCAGAGCTGCCAGCGCAGCCCAGCACAATAGCGGTACTCTAGGAAGTCCCCCGCTTCGCCACTGTGCTCCAGAGCCTGTGTAAGGGCCTGCCACACGTGGGCGAACTGAGCCGTGTCGCCGTAGCAACCACGCCCGCCGGGCACCGACAGGGCCGCTGCGGACTTTATCCGCACCTTAAAGTTGCGGCAGGCCGTCACTGCGTGGCACAGGGCGGAGAAGGCATCGGGGGTCCAGTTGGCTGTGCCTGGGGATGGGGGGGAATAAGAGGCCTTAACACCGGGAGCGTTAATAAGAGGCCTTAACACCGGGAGCGTTAATAAGAGGCCTTAACACCGGGAGCGTTAATAAGAGGCCTTAACACCGGGAGCGTTAATAAGAGGCCTTAACACCGGGAGTGTTAATAAGAGGCCTTAACACCGGGAGTGTTAATAAAGAGCAGAAAGGCAGCACTGGGTGACACTCACCGAGGGGCAGGGCAGGGTTCCTGAAAGCATTTCCCAGGGCGTAGCAGGCGTTCCAACGAACCTTCATGGTGCAATCGCTGCGGACAGTCTCAATCAGCGCCTGCACTGCATCCTCGACTGGGCCCTCGAACCCGGGCCGGGACAGATGGGCTGCCCGCAGAAAGCGAAGCAGATTCCCCAGGGCACGCACAGCATTGCTCTTAACCTGTAGGGGGCAGGATAGAGCATGAGTTTGATGGGGACCCTGAAGAGCCTATCAGACATCACATATTGAGAGCAATGATCTTAGTATATTTAGCTTAACTGAGTAAACCTCAGAAGACCTTTTCACAAATAAGACCTAGAACTTCTACCAGGGATTTAGCAGCCCTAATTGATAATAAACCTCTTACTATTCTCACAAGCACAGCAATTACAATATATTTAGCAAGTAGTTACTGGTATCCAAAGCGAGGTCAGACAGTCCCTGGAGCTGTTAGAGTTCAGGTCTTTGCTCAGGGGTGGCCAAAGATGAAATCATTCTGCTAACTCTGGGTTTTGAACCGGCAACCTTCCGATCACAGGGACAGTGTCCTAACCTGCTGAGCTGCACACTGCCCCTCACAGGAGGTCTTAAATTTATTTTGCATTCTGTTAAATCCTTCTGGAGGGCTTGGTGTTTCTTTGTTTAGAAATCTCATGTGTTTCTTTATTTAGAAATGCGGTTACTCCCGAAATGTCTTTATTTGGTAACCCGAGCGTCACGTCCTTCCCCATCCTCACCCTGTCCTTGTCGCTGGATGCACGGGTGGCCGAACAGAGCATCTGGAGCAGCAGCATGTCAGAGAACTCCTCCTGGAAGTCGCGTCCCACTGATGCCCTGGACAGCAGGCAGAAAGCGGGACAGACACTGAGTTGAGAGCAAACAGCAGGATACCCTTACTGGGTCATGCAGACCACAGCCACTCACATGTTAACAATGAGCGTGTCAGTCAAGTTGCCTAGCGACCAGGCAGCCTTGGCGCGCACGTTGGGTGAGTGGTCGCCCAGCGCGGTGAGGACGGCGTTGGCGGCATCAGCTACAAACATCACATCCTGTGTGAGATGAGGAGACAGAATGTGTCACATGCAAGGTGTCAAAAAGTAAAAACGGCGTCCTGGGCAACCTGCAGGGGGCGCACCTCTCGAAGGCTGGGGAACAGGACGTAGACGCCCAGGGCCCTGACGGCCGCAGCCTTCACCAGGGAGTTCTCGCTGTAAGTCAGACCCAGCAACACAGTGAGGCACAGGACCTGGGTTCGATCCTGGGAAGGAGAGCAGAGGAGCAGATACAGTATGAAATAAAATGTCATAAGACTCCACCAATCACCTGCTTGCTAACCAGTCAGCCAATCACCAGCCTGCAGGCAATATTTACATTCTCTTCACCTTATTCATCTATTGTTCATCACACAATCTATTCATCTATTTATTTATTGTTCATTGCAGTCAATTTGTACTGCATATTCTGCACTGTGACAGTCTAAGTATCCATTTTGCATTTGTAATTATTCATCACTGTACAGCACTGTTGGCACAGCACGGCTTTTTTGTACATTTGGATTTATTCCTTGCACACAGTGAGATTTAATTTCTAATGTTTAAGTACAGCGCTGTGATTTTTGTCCCCTTGTTTTTCCTATTTGCTTTTTTAATGCCTCATAGATAGAGGAAGAGGTAGAGATGGAGAAATAATGGCAAGAAGGATGGATGGAACCATGTAACGAACAGTCTTTCCCAGAGCCCACGCATGGTAGAGATGGACGGCTCTGTGTGTGTGTGTGTGTGTAGCTCACCGGCAGCTGGCTGAAAGCCTGGGGCAAGATGGCCGACAGGGCATCACAGGAGCTGGTCTGCAGGGTGGGGTGATGCTCGCTCTGCAGGGCTCCACTCAGGGGGCCACTCAGCACCTCCGACCAGAACTGGACCACCTGTCACATGACACAAAGGGGTCTCACGCGGCCATGCAGAGCAGGCAGACGGGCAGCCGCCCGCCGTCAATCGCGGCCCCTGTCGCAGACAGATGCTCACCTGGCTGACGGGCACCCTGGAGGCTGGGGCCACGGCGGACTCCTCTCTGTGCTGCTGGATGACGCCTGAACCCAGCTCCTCCAGCAGCTGGGGGCAGACACGGGATATGGGGGGCTTACGTTACCGTGACACTACCCATGCCTCACCGGGTTACTCCAGGCAGCCACCTTTGCCTTCTCACAAAGAGACATGTACTGCGAGGCAAGATACTGCTCAGTTTGAATAACCCAGTTTTATGGGTGTGTCTGCGGTCTGACAGCAGGGCTAAAACATCAAACCGCAAAAATGGTGAACTAGCTGCCCGTCAAAAGCATCACTGAAATATATCCTGGTTAAACTCCATGCTGTTGGAATGAGAACAATGTATTCCCCCGGACATGTGAGGCATAACTGTAAAGCGCTTTGAGTGCTCGAAAGAGTAGCAAAAAAAATGCGCTATATAAATGCAATCCATTTACCATCCCCGTCACCCCCTCCCCCCCGTCCAGTCCCTACTCCTCCCACACCCCCAAACTCTACAATCTCTAGCCCCTACCCCTATACACTCCCTCATCTTCTTTTAAAAAAAATCTTTATTAAAAGCCCAACTTTGTACAACTTGTCCCAGTGTAATCAGGTTCACCAGATCTGTGCCTGTTACCCTACCCTTTGCTACAATTATGTGCACATAACAAAACTACAATGATGAGTCTCAGAATTTGAGCACTACCAGATAATCACCAATACAATGTGTCTGCAAAGTTTGAAAAGTATCCATCAAATACTTTTTGAGTTATTGCGCTAACAAGAGTGTCTTCTGCAACAATGTAGGGTCCCAAATCCACATGCATTCCCCATCCGGATATATCTCTCTTCCGTCCCTCCTAAAGAGGGTGCAGTAAACCACACTCCACTTACTTCGAATGCTGATTTGGCTGCAGTCTAACCAAACCATAGAAGCCGTGTCCCAGTTCAGGGGCTGAATCCTTTGTAGGACATGGTCTATGTAGCCTTTGTAGGCTGTGTCCTTCTAAAAATCTGTGCAATGCATCTTGGGATATGTTGGGCTGCAAAGGGTCCAATGACTGGACCCTTCACAACTTGGCAAAAGAAGGACGCATTTCTAGACCACATTTGAAGGAGCTTTCAAAATGAGATAGCCTTGTCCTGAAGCTGTGATATGTTCAGTCTTCGAATGCAGCTTTAGAAGGATGCAGCCCCAGAATCGGCACATAGCCAGAGACTAACTGACCGACCTGATCTAGGGTCAGGCACGGAGAACACCTCACCTTGGCACCATGCAGCTGGATGGAGGGATCGGCTTCCTGGAGGCACTGAGTGCAAACCTCCCCCAGCTCCAACAAGTGACTCTGCACCAGGGCAAAGTAGCCCCTGACTAGGTGGGCCAGCACCTGCTCTCGGGATGGAGAGGGAGGTGTCAAGCAAAACATATATTTAAAAAAATATCAGTATTATTTCATACATTTGAGCAAAACAAACTAGTTTTACACATTGAGTATGTAGCTGTTGAACTGATTGCAACTACAAACAGTACTGATTAAAAAACCAGGACTCAAGCAGTTGTCCTGACACCCAAGTAGGGCACCCTCACCTGGAGGGCCTCTAGCCGCACAGGCGGCGGTTCCATGGTGCCTGAGGGGGCGCTAGCAGCATCGCTGTCAGAATAGGGGTCCTCCCGGGGCTGTACGACCAGCGACACGCACAACTGCAGCAGCCAGCACTGAGCCCCAGGAGTCGTGTCTGCTTCTGCTGGGGCCGGTGGGGGTGGGTAGTCCTTAGCAGGGCCCCTCCTCCAACTCTGCTGCTGCTCCTGAGGGGTGGCACCCCCACTGCTGGTTCCACCCAAAGTCCCGGTGATTCCTCCAGAGCCAGCAGGCTGCTGGAGGAGAAGCTGGACCTCAGGGAGGGGAGCTTGAGCGGAGACCACAGCCCCCAGGAGGGTGAGGCAGGACACACGGACATTCACGTCTGGAGGAGCAGGAAAAAACGAGAAGAAAGGACTTTGATAACGGTTCGACTAATACAACACATTCATACTGCCATCTGTGCATGGCATTAGCATTAGCAACCAGTGCTGGGATTTACTGCACACTCTTCACCTCGGTGGCGGATGTAGGGGCGGATCTGTCTCCAAAGGGAAGCCAGCAGCCCTGGGCGAAGGCGACTGTAGGGGACGTTGGAGACTAGGTGGGCCAGGCACTGAGACACATGGGAACACATAAGTCAAGGGTCAAAGGTCAAGCCAATGTTAAGCATAGGGATTAGCATAACCCTCAATGGCTACGCTAACGCTAAAACCCCAGCTACCATTCCCGCTATGTGCATTCTAAACACATCAGCAAGCTAATGCTAAAATACAGTCACAATAGATCAACAAAACATGACAAAACATGTTAAATGAGAAGGGTTGTGTGCGAGATCAACGGAAGGGTGCCCACCTTGATGACTTGTGTGAGGGTCTGTGGGGAGGACTCAGCCAGCAGGGCCAGCAGGAGGCAGCGGTGCAGCTCCCGCAGACTGGCAGCCAGAGTGACGGAGAAGGGAGTAAAGGCCTGCCGTGGGGCACCCGTGTCCTCGGCCGCCGACAGGAACTGCCTGGAGCCTTCCAACAGGGCCGAGAGCACTTGCAGGGACCCCGCCCTAACCTGCCAGTTCAGACACGTGACAGACAGCACTGTAATGAGCTGGACTGGGTTATACCGTAACCACAGTATTAGAAGGCACCCCCAAGATTTTCTTTCTTCATTTGTAGAAGCCTCTGAAGTACAAATCATTGAAGTGCCATAGTGACAAAATGATTGGCAGATTAGCTGATGAAGGAATCTGACCTTAGGTGAGGGATCCTTTAGGGCGATGGTGAGCAGAGTCAGGGGAGGTGGCCCACCAACACCAGGAGCATCAGGTACGAAGGAGGACCAGTAGCCATACAGCGCACGCTTCTCCACGCACCGAATGACCGACAGGAAGCAGTGCAGCGCCCCCTGCCGCACGCGGGCTTGGTACAACCTGCACACAGACATGTGCTCAAGTCTCCCAAAAAACAAACGAGCTGGGATTAGCACGAAGCCCAGCTCAGAGGGTTCAACTTGCTGAGGGTTAGCTCTGTCAGACAGGTGCCATTTTCACATCTGGGAGCAGGACCAAAGCAATGTCAGAGCTGATCCACGTAGGCCTACCTCAGCTTACTTTGCATCCCTCCTTCTGGGTCAGAAATCTCCGAGTCGGAGCTGCTCTTCTTCCAGGAAGAGTAGAATGCTACAGCGCCCTCTCTGGATGCCTGGGAGAATAGGTGACTTGTGCCCCTGGAATCGTGGATCCAGCGGCCGGGGGCTTCAGCCATGCGTACCCTGCTGGGCTCCGCCCCCGTGTCTGACTCCACCTCCTGCCCCTCCTCCCCATCCTCATCCCGCCTCCCTTCTGACCCAACCTTCTTGCCCCGCCCACGTGATTTCCGTTTCTTATTCTGTAACGAGACATTTATTCAGATTAGCCGTACAGATACACAGTCATAGAGACACGGTGACGCCCATGCATAAACACAGCGGCAGAGACACACCCCAGGTGGCCTGTTCTGAACTGGTGGGTTCCTCTGAACTTCAGTCTTGGCGGGAGTCCTTCCATCATACTGGGGGAGGGGTGTGGGGTATAGGACCCCTGGCATCTCCACATTCATTCCAGGCAGTCCGAAGAACATGTGTTTCTGCCGAAAGAGCGAGCCATCAGAATCATCCCAGAAGATTCCACAAGCAAATGACCAGCATCTGTAAGGTTGGGCTGTACCCCCAATGTACAAGAACACTAATCCATTCATCTTCAAACTGCTCGTCGGGGGAGTCTTGAGCCTATCGCAGACAGTACTGGGCACAATCATATTTTATGGGAAATTTAGAAACACCAAGCACCCTAACTGCATGAGATAACCAGAATCCCAGTATGACACAACACGGGAAGAACATGCAAATTCCACATGAGCACAGAGAGCAGAGGTGGACACTGAAGCCCCAGACCTGGAGGTATGAGGCAACAGTGCAATTCACTGCCCCACCCAACACTGATCAGGAGTGACTTAGGGCTACCCAACACTGATCAGGAGTGACTTAGGGCTACCCAACACTGATCAGGAGTGACTTAGGGCTACTCACACTTGGCCCAGTTGGCCTGTACCATGCCCACACATGACTGTCCTCCCTCCCCTGCTGGACCTGAGCATGCTTTTGTCATCACCGTGTGACTTTTCGTGTTGAAGAACACAGCAAGAAAATGCTATCACACAGCACAACGGAGTCCATGATAAAATCCTGTATTTTACCAAAAAGCTCATAGTTTTTGTGCAAAATGTTTATTAAACCTATGGAAAAGCTGGTGTGCGGACAGATTTTTATGCCTGTTAAATGTTTGTTGCCACCCAATCTGTACAACCTACCCAATCCATTCCTTCCGGGTTCGATTCATGTACATGTCCGCATGCATGAGGCAGCTGCATCAGCGACTCATGTCTGTGTTCCGTGCTCAGACGCGGTTAGCGATCACAACTCAACCGTGCCCAGGTCCACCTCATCAAGTGCACTCGGGCACGGTTTGCGATCACACTAGTTAAACAAACTGGACTTTGGGGGTCAAACATGCTTCGGCACAGTTAGGATCAGCTACTGTGAGAAAACCCCAAGTATCTCAGTCTCAGACTCCTTCTGTATTGGAGGTGAAGACATGCTAAAGCAGTCACTGGATTAAGCTCTCATAACCAGAATTAAGCACATGCAAGTCATCTGACCAGTGAACCCATCCAACCCCTGAGTCCAGTTCCAGCACCTTGAATACTGCCAGCAGGGTGCCCAGCTGCTCACCGACTGCCAGCTTCCCCTTCTCACTGTTCAGGAAGTGCTGCATCCCCTTCAGGGCATCCTGGAGCAGCTGGAGGAGGGCAGGAGACACAGTGAGTGTGGGCGAGTCAGAGAGAGAGAGAGAGATAGAGAGAGAAATAGAGAAAGCGATAGAGAGAGAGAGAGAGAGAGAGAGACAGACAAGCTTTACTGACCGTGCAGAAGATTGCTTCGTCCACATTAGCAGGTCTGGGGTACTGTAGCATCTGCATAAAGGTCTGGAAACAGACACTCCTGTATGGCTCTTCCAGGTGTGACTGTCCAGGTGCCCTGACAGGTCACATGATTACTTTTAGTCAATAGTACATGGCATGTACAGAGATTCTGCCTGAAGTGTCCAGTTCGGTGTACATGTGTGTGTGTGTGTGTCTATGCCTACTGCCTCACCCCAAACACAGGTTACCCATGCAGTGCACTGCAGCTCGCCACAGCTCCAGGTCTGGCTGGTTTAGGTCACTGTAGCGTAAGAGGATCCCTCCTCCACCCAGGAGGTCCGGCAGATACTGAGAAGTAGTGACAGTTACAGTTACAGGTGACTAATCTCACAGTAAAAGGAGCCCAGTTAGCCAGCATCTTGGGCCTACTCAAGTGAAGAGTCTTAAATATTTTATTTGCTTTGTCAAACAGCTACCAAAGGAGGCGTAAATCATGTAGGGCAGTAAACTAAATATAAACCACTTTCAGACTAATGAGAGACACAGAACAAATTCCTGCTCAGAACAATAAATGAAGAAATTATCATTATTCAGTATTTAAATGAATTTAATAGCATGGCACTTAAAAAAAACACACAGTAAAAGGAAAGTTAATGAGGGATTTACCTTCTGACACTTGGGCCCATTTCCATACAGCAGGGCGGCCAGTGCCTGCAGGATATCAGTGCGTGTCCAGCAGCTGCACACGGCCAGGGCCTGGGTCACGTACGACACCAGGCAGTTCAAGCTCTGCTCATCCACAATCACCTGCAGCACACAAAAACAACCCTTCTGAAAGCCCCCGGTTGCACTTTCCGGCCAAGCAGGAACATGTGCACAGCCAGCTGCCTCACTACACAGGGAGTAAGGATGTACTCCACGCCATTGATAAAAATGACTCCATCTTGGGTGCCACAATGTGACCACAGAAACACATACAGTATTGTGCAAAAGTCTTAGGCAGTCAAAGACAATGTTTAAATGATCTTCATATTGGTGTAACACTATATTATGTCTGTAGATTTGGGAACTAAAGTGTTATTCATCTGACCATTCAACAAACATATCAGTAATTTTTCAGAGAACAAAAGAAAGTCTTGTTTATTTTTATTGTCCATCCATCCATCCATCCATCCATATGTCCTATGCAGGGTTGCGAGGCTCTGGAGCCTATCCCAGAAGTTACAGGTGCAAGGCAGGGGATAACCTAAATCGGGGTGCCAACCTATTTATTGTGTTACCGTTAATTTGTGCATGTTCTAATGTTAAATTGTGTTTTTTCCCCGCAGCAAATATTCACTTATTACCCAGATAAATAGCCTTAAACACTTTCTTTGACTGTCTAAAACGTCTACATAATACTGTACTGCACTATCTGGAAACAAAGGTGGTCTGTATTAACACTAGATGACTATTAAGTGTACCAAGAGCAAGAGCAGGAATGAAGAGCAGGGAAAGGGAAGAACACAGGTGAGTAGTCCAGGTCCAGAGAGTAAAAGTCCAGACCAACATTTTGTTTCAACCAGCCAGTTGAGCACTCTATGACTGAGTCTTTAAACTCAACTGGTTGGTTGAAACAAAACCTTGGAATGGATTTTTGCTCTCTGGACCTGGACTACACAACTCTGAGGAAGACCTACCTGTAGCCGGTTGAGAAGGTGATGGATAAGTTGGCAAAATTTAACAACGAGGTGGTCCTGAGTGAATTGCACCAATCGGCTGGCCTGTACCAGGAGAGCACATACTTCCTGAAAGCAGAGTGCACACGCGGATGTGTCGTTAAACAGATTCCCCAAGCCCATTTCGGATCAGAATTGCTATTTCTGGCAATAAGAGTCTTAAGATTTTTGCATTACAGCTGAATTAAACGATCAGTGTCACTATACATAGGTATGATATTTAGAAGTACTACGTGCCAAGTGCGAATCTAAACAAACTTAGCCCTAACCAAAATTACAAGACGATATTATTTTATGGCTACACAAAATTGTGCACAATCATATCCGTTGTAGTTTACAGTGCATATAACCAACAGTTTTTATATAGTTGCAGTTTTACACTAATGTTTAAAGTTTGTAAAGAAGAATCCTCGTACTTCAGGCTGAACGTCGCGGTCAGACGCGTAACTGTAGTAGTTTTCTGATATCAGCTGGTCAAACAGCAGGTTCAGCTCCGTCTTCAGGCTGTCGCTGTCGGAGGGTCTGAGCGAGCAGAGCTTCGAGAAACAGCGAGCGAACTGCAAACCTGATCCGCCTGGAGGCGCCCGGTCGAGCTCCACGGGACCGGATTCTAGGAAAGGCGTAGCCCCTGCCTCGTTTACCACCGCAGGCCTTGGGAAGCAGCGAAGAGGACCACGCATCGGGCTGGAAGCCGAGGCCATCGCCCCATTGACGGCCATTTTTTTGGGAGGCCGAGGGTGACGTTGCCACGGTAACCGAAATCCACATCCGGGTTAGATGTAAAACGTAATTTCCGGTCTCCTTTTTTTTTTTGTAGATGCAGTTTTTAAAAATCATTCTGTTTATAATTACGAACGAATCGGGAGAGGATTTTTAATTTGTTATATACTGCGTTTTCCAACGACCTGCACTGAGGTCAACAGCGTCAGATAATGGAGTACAAAATTTAATTTTTATTTGTATTTTATTCATTCGAATATTCATTAGCCTTTACGTAGCGGATAAGACTATGGAGTAGTTCGGATGTCACTTCATGCTGCTGGTTCTTTAATCCTTTCAAGGATTAAAAAAACTAACGTAATCTCTTACCGTTTATTGCTCAGGCTGCTATACAGACGTGCGTTACTTATCGGTAACGTAATTTACATTTATTTATCACAAAAGCCTGCAGATTGATCTTATACCCTTGTATAAAAGTCCCGTGCTGTAGAATGAGGAAGGCCATACTTCAAATTGACGCGCTCACGTGTTTTGTTAGACATTCCTTTTATTAGACATGATTTACGAAAAGAGATTCAGAAGGTTTACAGAATGTCGCTACACCGACGGGGTTGTTCTGTAACGAGAGAGAATATACAGTCAGCTTTTCGGTTTGCACTGTGAGGAGAATCAGTGCGAGCAGGACGGGAGGGGCGGCGGCATCATTTGGAAGTCTACCAAGCATTCACATTGTGTAACCATCCATTTTCCGTAACCGCTGATCCACGTTACGCAATATCGTTTTTTTTTTCCCCAAATCACTTACAGTGCACACTCGCGTTTACTGTGCATCACTCAACTCCTTGAAAAATTCTGAATTTGGTTGCAACCCTTGCTTGATAGAACCAGACCAATGCATACAACCCCAACCCGTTTAAGACCACCACACTCTAATCCCCCGCCCCCCCCAAAAAAAACAAAAAAATGATTGACCAATGCAGGACATAATTTTTTGGCAATTATACTAATCCCTCTCCCCCCCAAAAAGTCTGGCATGCCAATCGACAACACCCACAAACTTTAAACGTGTAGAACTATTCTTTATTTTTCACTTAAAGGCCACTTTTAAAGCATTTTGTACAACTTGAGTGCAATAACAAAATAAGTAGAAAGCATTAACAAAAACTCTCCCTGTTGCTTACTGTATCCCAGCAACTAAAGAAAAGCAAGATTTTACTGCAACATATACACAAATATTGTACACCGCCCATGCACTTGAGCACAGCCAGTTTAATAGTGTTGTGTCCTGCCTCCCCCCCATGTGTATTTAAGTGTAAGGAGCAGGTGAGGCAGCCATCAGTGCATCAGTCCAGGTGAGGGGGTCCACCCTCACTTTAGCCGTCCATCACTCAGCCTGACTTGAACAGCAGAATTGCCACCTGGCCCAGGTAGAAATAGATGAAGTGCTTGGTCTCGTGAGTCACATAACTGCCGAAGTTTCTGCCCACGATGCAGTGCCACGTGGGATTATACTTCTTGTCAAACTCCTGATGGGTGGGGAGAGGCACAGAAAGGTCAACATGAAGCTCTGAAGGGTCACCATATGTACAGGTAAAAAGTAAGTCATACATAGGAAGCGGGTTCCATTCATAGCATTACATTTCATCTTAAAATCTCTCTAGATGTCCTGCCAGATTTTATCCATTCAGAACATTACAGGAATACCATGAGTGGGAGGGGCACAGAACCCACACACACCTTTTTGATGTAGGCAGCAATATCTTTCTCGATGTTGTACTTCTCCATCGCCTGTGTGGCACAGTCCACCGCATCCTGCTGCATGTCCTCGGACATGTCGGCATTCTTGATCACAGCCTTCCTGTCAGTCATGGTGCCTGTGTGCAACAACCAGAGACCAGCGGGAGGGGGACAGCACGGTAAACAAGCGATATCCACTTATTTACTTTTAACATGCAAAATACCCAAGAGAAACAGTCAATGTACAGTTACAGGACAGCAGCTAGAACAAGACTGATAGTTGATGCTGCAATGTAAAGGGGGAGGGGTCCTGCCATTTTCCCCAAACAGCCACATACTAAATCATTTCTAAAAATATCCACGTGCAACATGTTGCATTTTGATTAAGAGAACTAGGCAGTAAACATCGACTATTGTCTACCATAAACAAGCCCATTGCTCTAATAATTGGTAATTATGCCAGAGATGATCAGTACCATTGAGTTATCAAAATGAGACATCACCCCCCCCAAATCACTCAACAGGCCAGGGGAATGCTACAGTCAATGTATAGAGATTATTCTGGCAGAACTTAATCCTCATCCATTCTGATCCCCCTGCAGTCCAGACAACGCTAGGTTTGGAAGCCATGTAAATCAACCTCCCTCACTTAAAGGGATTATGAGTGAATGCAAAATTACCCAACGGCAGTGTCTGAAAACATTCTTAACCAGAACTTTGAAGAGATAACAGGTTACGTACCCTGTACAAATCACAACCACGCTACCAGCTACCTGGCACTGACTCAATCTTGCCTCTTCCCAGGCAGGAAGCCCACAGCTTTCCACGCATATTAAAACAAGCGAGAGAGGCCGTTAAGTGTCCGTGATGAGACATCCTCGCAAGATCATCATTATACAGAGCTGGCAGTAGACCAGTCGGGCATCTACACCAGTTGGCTGTGAGCTGAAGTTCTTCCAGTTTGAATACAGCTGCAACTTCAGGGATTAATCAGATCGGAACGCGACAGTTTCACAAGGTGCAATTCCCATTAGGATTGGGCCAGCGGTAACCAGTGTAATCGTGTACTGGTTTCCTTCTACATTTCCATCTGGAAAAATCTGCCTGTCAACATCCTCCCTCATCCCCTCAACTCAGAGCAATCAAACTAAAACCTATCTGCAGCCTGTCGGTGCTCATCAGGACATAACACTGGCATTCCTGATTAACTTCAAACAGCACCCACTTCACACATCAGGGAGCCAATTAAAAATAGGATTCAACACAACGGCACATCACTTCGCACCACCTCTGAAGAAGCCACACGCAACGTTACCGATATATCTTGGAGTCATTCAGGAACAGCAGCACATTTGACGTCATTTACAATGTATATACCAGTGTCCAAATGGTTAAATGTACTACCACATCAAGTAGTAACAGCATAATGCTCTGGTAGTCATACACCGGTCTCAATTGCGATCCTTACATCAAGTCATACTAGAAAAAAAGAAAAACCGTCTTGGGGGGGTGGGATTCGGCAAAGTACATACGCAGGTAAAATCATGCGGATGCACACGCCACTCCTCCTAAACGCCCCACACACGTAGCAATGGGAGACGTAACCTGCTGTTTGCTTTGCTTTTTGGAGTAAGTGGACACCTCCACCCCTCCCTCACCATGCCCACCCTATTAAAAATATCCAGCAGATCGTCACACGCAGAGAAAGCACGGTGGGTACACGCGATAATCTGGAGCACAGCAGCATTTATACTAACAAAATACACACTGCAACTTACAAGACACACAGGGGCTATCGGTGGCCGTACACGCGGACTCGTGGGATTACTATTAACAAGATGTTACAAAGAGAAGGCGGTATACACTCCGGGTGAGGTGAAGAGAAGCAGTGGAGACAGTTCATTGAGCGCAGTTTGACAGAAACGTGACAATAAGGATGGACACACACACACACACACACACACACACACACACACACACACATTAACAGCGTTCGGTTGCAGCCCGGCGCACAGTTTTGCAGGGAGTCAGATCGTTTTAGCTCCGCTTGAGTTACATAATACCTTTACCCTTCAGAGTACTTTGATCTAGCTGCATAAGCATATCCACCGCAAGATGGAAGCGATGCCCCTAGCATCACACGAATGCGAGAAGGTAACGTTAGAACGGCAGCGGGCCATTATCAAAATAGCTGATTAACCTCCCGTGCGACCTACACAAAACGGCCCCTTAGGATCGCGAAGGGGGGCGAATATTTGCAAAAAGACATAACTTTTTATCCACTTTAAGCATTCACCGCAAAACGGTTTTGCATTCACCGCAAAACGGTGAATCTCTGCCCATTTCGCATGAGAAATCTGTGCGCATATATGCCAAAGCCGGGCTTGTTTATGTTGCAAAAGGCAAAACGTGCTTTGCTCGTCAGGCTACACCGCTGCGCCGCATGCACCAATAAGATCCAACGTAAGCTCACCCCTTTATTGAATGGTATTTAGTTCAGTGTAGTCGCCGGCAACACCGGGCTTATTTTTTTTATCCTCCGCCTCCCCTGGCTGGTTCCCTGCTTCAGCGGATTGCTCGTCTCCCGTTAGGACTCGCTTGTGGCTGATCTGCAGGTATCTGCCCCGTTAAAATACCTCCCCCACCCTGCGCACTGCCGCACGGCTGCGTGCCTTCCATTGGTCGGGGGGCGGCCTGTCTCCGCGCGCCGCGTGCATTTTCCTCTAGCTCATGTCTGCCCGCATCTTATTTCAGCCCATAATGCACCGGGGCCGATGCAAATATTGTCGATGTTACGGTATACTTTTTAAATCAGTTTGATGATGAGTTATTCTGGGAACGCGAAAATTTGTTTCACATTATATAACCCTTATCCAAAGTAAAGCATTCACTGTTATGTATAATTAAGCCCCTCGGACACGAGCTACGTCGATTTTTTACTACCGAGTCTTTGCCTGAAATACGCAGTACACGTTTGTGATTTGTCCACTTCATTACTTGGACAAGATATACTGAAGGTTAAATTCGGGGTCGGCAATATTTAAGATTTATTAACGAGACTTATAACGAGTGATAAACTTTGTGTAGACTTGGTAGCCCAAACTACCCAAAGAAGTCGTCATAGATTTCAAGGATGGGATGCTATCGTTAATACCCTAATACTCCAGCAAAATAAAAGCATATAGAATGCATTCTTCACCGTTAAGGGGGTATTTTCTCAGTATGCCTAATTCGGTGACCTTCTCGAGAACACGCAGTAGCAATTTCACTGCTAAAATATATACAGAAAACTCCTTAACCACGCAGTGAATGGTTCCGTGACTTTGCGTTAAAACCCCTTTTGTCCTCGTATCGGTCACCTTCAGAGCTCTCTTGAGGAACGGAAACGTTAAATTGCCTCGCTCGAAGCAAACGAGATCGCTGACATCTCCGACACATCACCCGGTGCACCGTGGGTCATCAGCCTTAAAAACGCAGCAATTACCTTCGCCCGCAGCCAGCTGTATTAACTGAGCGGAAATATGGTCTTACGTAAGAGTTCATCTGGATGTGGAAAACAGCAGTGCGTTACTTGGTGAGAGGGTACTTATCTGTTAAACCCACTGACCACGTTGCAGCATTTCACTAATCTTGAGTCATAACACAGCTGCATAAATATGCATGTGCATAAACCCACGAATATTTTGTATATGGATATATGTAACCCTTTCACCACATTCAGACCTAGTACAAAATCCCCGTGACTAGATCACCCATCCCAACTCCTTTGTCTGAAAAGGAATTATTTTTACAGAATTGTTTTAGCCCTCATTCACTAATTTCAGGACTCAAACTAATTTGGTAGTCTTTCTCATGTTGCAGCTTAATGCTTGTACCTCACATGGCTTGGTTTTGATTTAAGTCTATGTATCTATATTACGGTGAATTCTTTTTCAGCTGGAATCTACTACAACGTGTTTGCATCACCTTTAAGTCCCAGGTGCAGAGAACTTCCACCCAACGCTCAAGTTAAATCAAAACTGGGTGTTTCATCAGACCACCCTTGAAAAACCACACCTCTTGTGGGTGGCCAGACATCCATCAGGAACCTCTGCAGGTTTCGCTTTGCTACCTGGTCAGTAGAAAATCGGTCACATTCCTTTGAAAGATTCCTGGTTTCTCAGTGATGCGACTCCAGCCCTAACATTAAAGCTGCCAAGTCTGAGTATCAACAAAGACACCAGTATAACTGAAGTAAATAACTTTAGACTAAGATCATGTACTCCAGCTGTTAAACACCCAGACCACAAGCAGGCTAGGGTATTTTAAGTCTTTATTAAGGGGGTGGGGAAAACACTATAAACTAGGGAGGGGAAAAAAAGACAAAAACTCATTCCTTTCCTTATGGCAAATCACCAAGGAGAAATTTCTTAACCTGAACAAACTACCAAAAGGGACAAAACACACCCCCCAAACTAAACTCCTATTTACCAGGCTCCAAATGCGGAATCCATCCAAGCAGATCGATCCAGCCTCCTGGTCCTCGTTTTGCTCCTCTTACACCAAGTTAAAATAAAAAAGGCCGGTTCCCAAGTGCGCGCTCATCACTGGGGGCTCCACAAAAATTTGACTGAATTGCCAATTTCGAGGTGATGTTTGGATGTTAATCCCGTTAACCGTGATATGGTGGGGAGGGGGTGGGGGTCGAGGGATCCACTCCTACGGGTCCGGGTAATCTGACCCCTCTTCCACCGATCCATCCTTAGCCTATCCTATCCTGATTATGTACTGATCCAACGATCCAGCTCCCAGGACCGGGATCCGCAGAGCCCCTCCTCCAATCCAAACCTTTGGATTCCGGCAAAATCAAAAAGAAGGAGGCAAGAAGTTAGAATTAGAGCTAAATGAAAGAAAAAAAAGAAAAAAAAAGTTCTCCTCTTTTCTAATACTATTCATCTGGGAGGAGATCATCTGGCTGGTGTCATTTGTAGATGGAAGTACAAGTTTAAAATGTTATGTTTAGGATACCAGTCAATGATCACCTCCCAAATCAACTCAGTGAAAAACCCAGGTAATCTAAAACAGAAAGAAAATCGGGTCAATATTCCCCCCAAAACAATGTCTGTACATTGGGCCAGGCTGAAATATGCTATGATGTGTCCACAAAACCAGTCTAAAACTACAATGAATTGCCGTTTCCATCATTAAGCTAGATGACTTTTAAACAGAAATCCTGCACAGTAAACACACTGTGGGGGCAAAGTACTAAATGATTAAGTACTTTAAAAGATTGTTTCCGTGGATGGTGCACAAGCATCATTACATTCATGCATGCTTAGCAGTACTGATAGGTAGGGAATCGGGGCGGGGCCATCTGGAAAAACAGAAGCACAAGTGACGTACTCCGCTGGAGGCCAGTGGCCCTGAGGAAGTTAAGCTATTGGTAGGATGCTAATAAATGATCAATACTGCCAAGTTTAAGAGGTAACCGAAGCACTTGCTGTCATACCATTGCCTCCAATGATCTGAGTTCAGCTCCTCCCAAAAACGCTCTGATAATCCTAATATGAATGAACTGTGCTTCACAATCCTTTATCCCCAAGCACTGTTTAATCCTGCCCGTCAGATGTCTATAGAAAGACACGAAAGAGTAAAATTGAACAGTTTTGCAACACGATCCCCACTACACCAACAAACACCCAGCCCACCCGAAACACATAAGAAAGCTTATCAACATTCAATACAGAACATAACTCCACCTTTAGTAGGCCATTAAAGGAGGGGAGGGAGGGAGGGGGCATGGGGGGGGGGGGGGTGGGAGTAAACAGCCGGTTAAAATGCAGTTTATGCAGGACAAACAGTGGAGGGGGGACTCAAATTCAAGAGCAGGGGGTTTGTTATACACACACATACCAAATAAAGTTCTTAATGGGGGGAGGGGGGGAACTTCACATAAAAATGGAGGAGGGCTCAAACCAAAATGAACAGAAACTGGGGGGGGTGGGGGGTGATGAAGCACAGCTGGTCAAGCGACGGCTTCCCGGGCGCTCAGGTGCGCGAGCGGGAACGGCTATGGCGTGGCGAGTAGCGCGGTGAGCCGCGGCTGCGGCGTGGCGAGTAGCTCCGGCTGCGGCTGTTGCTCCGGCTGCGGCTCCTGCTCCGGCTGCGAGAGCGTGATCGCCCGTAGCTCGGGCTCCGAGGGCCGTCCACTTTCACGCGGATGTACGCCGTCTCCCCCTGGTGAACACCAACACCTTTCCCATGAAAGCACAGTCTTTACAGTGTCACCACCGCCAAACTACAGTGAAAACAGCTGGTAGGTAAAAGCACTATACTCCTAACCCTCCTACAATGAAGGAGTTAACAGGAAACTCAATTCCTTCTGCCCTTAGAAGCAGAGCAGACCCCACAGAGACCCCACCATGGCAATGCATTACATGTTCTGATTTTGGAGGGTGCATACAAAATAGGACTGCCACATTAATATATTAATGACTACTATGCAGTTTCTTAGCAACAGTGAACGATATGACAAGACTAAATTCCCATGTACAACAAAGATTAAATCAAAGGCTTTTGCTGTCAAATCCCAGTTTGGAAGCGAAACGGGCCATTCCAAGCCTAGTTGTCTACATCAAGGGGACACCATCAGCACTACCACCACCCACGTCCAGAGCCTTTCCAACAGAAAGCCAGAGAGATCTCACACCTACCTCATGGGACCGGAACTTAGTGTTATCCAGCTTTCGGACTGCGTAGGTCATGTCTTCCTTGCGAACAAACTCCACAACCCCAGTTCCATCTCGGAAAACGTCTGCGTAACATACATCACCTGCTTCGCGCATGTGATCCTTAAGGTCCTGCCAGCTACCGCTTGGCGGGAGGCCTGAGGGACACAAGACACAGACACTCAAGAGGAGGAACTCCAGCTGCAGGTTATTTCAGTGAAAAATAAAGGCACACAAAGGCAGCGCAACAGGCAAATGCAGAACTTTTGGGAGTGTTGGTCCCAAGACTTCACTCAATCCCAATATAAACCTGTACTGCATGCTACACGACTCAATTCCTATAACTGCAGCACATTTATCCAAAGCAACTCACATTACACATTTACCCACGCATACAGCTGGATAATTACTTAAGCGATACACATCAAGTACCTTGCTCATGGGTACAACAGCAGGGCACCTCCTGGGTCTCGAACCTGCAACCTTTCGGTTGTCCAGCTCCTTCACCAGCACGCTACACAACTCCAACATCGACAAAGCCCCAACACGTCCCAGCCAGCTCGCTCCAAGCGTCCGGGTGGACCCGCTCACCTGAGACGATGACTCTGTATTCGGAGCGCCTGGATGGGGGTCCGTATCTGCCCCTGGGGGCACCAACACCTCCCCCAACCCCCCCTCGCCCTCCACCCCTACCGCTCCTGGGGAACTCGACCCTCAGGCGGTACCCATCATAGTCATAGCCATCTCGCCCGTACACAGCATCCTCGGCATCTCTGAAAAGACAGGAGATATTTTTTTTAGTCCAAAATCATATTAGAAGCAACATGCACACAGTCCGAACTGGGTTCAAAGCAAGACAAAGATTACCTGATGAAACAATCCAAATTCATAATCTCTCCAAAAGCTTGAACAAAGGGTGTATTAGAGTTTGATAATAGGGAAAAAGTTAATTCAGATGCAAAAGCCTAATACTTGAGGGGGATATATAAAACCAAATTAAATATTGCGCGGTACAAGTCCCTTCGCCCCCTTGGTTCCAACACGCATGATCTGAACTCTAACCTTTTGGAATAGGGGCCGTATATATAGAGCAAAAAAACGCTACGGCATAACATTAAACGTCTCAGTTTAGTATAATCGGCATAAAGTTGGTTTCGAGCACGATTCCTGCGAATAAACCAAATCCTTCTTCGTTCAAGCCTCCACATCGCTGAACGCAGTTTTTAAATTGTAGGGGAATCCTACGATGCGTGCCAGGAAGATCACACGCACGGTCTACACAAACTGAATGGCATATAGCCTTCCATGATGGAAGATAATCTCATAGTATAAACCGAAAGCTCCGAGAGTGTGGGGTAGGAGCACCACGTGGCCGATCGCCCCGCTACACCCAAACATGTACACCATGTGGGATCCAAAGGTGCTGCGACGGAAATCGCTGCTTACTAAGCTATAATCACGATTTAATGCCCCGCAGGAGCGTCCGCGTTTGCTGGAAGATCGCCAATTGCTCGCACTAGCCAAGTTGGATTACCCGCCAGTTATGGAGATGTGAAAGCTAGGGAACCACTGAACCGAAAAAGAAAGGGAACGGCCGCACGCTGTTGAGTGATTTAACGGAAGAAAACGGTGATAAAGCATTAATTTTTCTGGGCAATGCGGACTCACGCCGGTTCAAACGACGGCCGGCTGCAAAACATAAAGGACAGGCATGGTCGGGCACACTCTCACCTGGGATCTTCAAACTCCACAAAGGCAAACGGCGGTCCTCCCCTCCGGTTCTTCAGGTCGATGTCGCGGATCGCCCCATACTTGTAGAACACATCTTCGACGTCTTTGGTACGGATATCGGGAGGAAGATTGCCCACGTATATTCTGCAATCGTTGTTTCCAGCTGGGCCGCGAATCACACCACCGCCAGACATAGCTCTTCTACTTCAATTAACCGGACCAATTAGGAATTACCAAATTCAATCAATAACTCAATCCCCTGCAAGAGATATTGGCTACAAAACAACTAACCACAACCAAACCGACACTATGGAGCACTAGCTAAGAATTACCACCCCTTCCCGCTCTACGACTTTCTCTCTTCAAGATGGCGCCGATCCCCTCCTTTTTTGAACCGCTGTGCTAAACGCGGACGAATATCAATAATCGGAAGTGTTTCCCCGGCAGTTAGAAAGTGTGCGTCCGCGAATTGAAATAGTACTTCTTTGCAGGTTAGACTGAAAAGGTTATCAAAACGCATCACACGTTAACTAGTGCAGGAATGACTTGTAGTGAACGTGCAAGCGCACACAAGAATCTACTAAACACAAAATTTAGAGTTATTTATCTGCGTTTCGCCAGACACCACGCGACGCTCCGCCCAGAAAGCAGGCGGTGCTGGCCGAAAGGCGGCACGTGCGTGTTGTGCGATCCGATTCTGCGTTCACCTGGTGTCCTCTGTGCTTTATGCAGTATAAAGTCTGTTTCACACGTTTTCAGCGAGAAGCCTCGCCTTCCAGAGACCTATGCATTTTCAATGTAATTATAAAGCATACATTATGACTTGAAAAGTAATGTGCGACTTCAAAAGAATGTAGTAGGCCTATAGAGCACAGATCGTCGACCCCGTCCTTCCAGGAACAAAGGTATCTGTGACAAAATGAGACAAGAAACTATGTAGACTACGTTTTAAAAATACTAAATCAGTGGTTTGAAAACAATAATATTGAAAAAAATGTCAGTAAGAATTGGTCTCACGCGGCAAAAAACAGCTATGTGTGAATTTTAATTAAAGTCAAAATTGTAAGTTTAAAAGAATGTGTTCACTCATTCAAGTAAACCACTGATCTTTACGTCATCGGCAGGTTACCGGATAGTGGCAGTAGATAAGGGCATGTCGCGAATTGACGTAACTGGTTCGTAAATATGCGTTCTCCGTATAAAGGCTAAATGGCGCAGTATTCTCCCGTCATAACAGCGCAAAAGCACATAAGATAAGCACGTGTTTGCCCCCTTCATGACAAGAAATTACCGCACATTGAACCTTTATACGTTGAATGGTTAATTGAATGCCAGTTAGATATTCCAAAAGATATTTAGATATGCCGAAAGATATTCCTTTCACAGTGCTCAGTTAAATTGTGCCCAAATATATATCTATATTGCTCAGCTGCCTGAGGTCCTTGATCCTCCATTTGCAAATTTAGCTACCTAGTCCAACCCCCCTCCCCAGTAAGGCAGCTTATGTATGCTCCCCCAACTCAAATCCCTTGGTCCATCAGCCAATGAAGTAGTCACCATGAGGAACCAGAAAGAGCATGAGATCATTGTTTGTCATGTCCTTATTCAGAGGTTACAACATTTCACATAAAGCCCCCTGCAAATTCAACACTGACAAACCATCAACAAAATAAAATGAAACAGAAAACAGAAAATACATTCACCTAGCAGTCAAATCCATGCCACATTATTTTTTCTTGTGTTTTCAGCAGTGCAGAAACAGAGTTTTCTGTAATTTTTTTTCCCTGCCCTGAGAAATTCTGAAGCCTGGCTTACACTCCAGGAAGCCCCCTTAATGAAACATGTCACTTACAACAATGAAGACAATATTATGCAACTGCATTACAAATCAAAGTGAGCAAGTAACAGATGTCATCCATTATTTGAAGGCGAATATTGCATAAAAGCAGAACTTCATGGAGATGCATGTCTTCACAAGTAAGGCTGGGCTGGGGTCCAGAGCACAATGTGCTTAAAATAGAGCCAGAGATTAAAAACACACAGGTGGGGTGTGAAAAAAAGATTCCAGGTCATACATTTTTAAAAGAAACGAGACCTGGCAAGACAACCAAAATTATGTTAGTGTTTCTTGATGAAGGGAACAGTTAAGAAGTTTGGATTTCAGTGCTCATCACTACATTTCAGTCACATCACACGGTGATCTCACACCCAGCCGACGGGTTGCCATGGAACACCAAAGCCTTGAAGAGTTGAAATGCAGAAAACTGTCCGCGTGCGCTCAAGCAGGCCGGCATGGTACCTGGTTTGTGTGTGGTGTGTTTGTTTATTTAAATATATCTCAATTTCTCGAAGTCAAAGGATGCTGGTCTCTTAGTCCTTCTTAGCGCGCCTCTCTGCGCGACTCCTCCGAATCTCACCCAGCATCTTTAGGAGTGACAGCAGGATGGGGACACACATGGGCAGGAACAGAGGGATGTAGATGGCAAACTTTTGGTCGTCGGGGAAGTAGAGCAGGTGCAGCAGCGACGGATCGAAAAAGGCCCTCTCGGAGGCCAGGATGGCCTCACGGCTGTACTGCAGAGCGAAGGCCAGGTTTCCGGCCTCCAGCTCTGCCACCGCCGCCTGCAGCGAGGTCACGGCGCTTGACACCTGCAGCACAGAGGGGACAGCCAATCAGGATGGGATCTGAAGACTTGGCACTAGTCACACCATAGACAAGCCACCATCACCAGTCATTCAGTATCAATGACTGGCTTTATAACTGGCATCTCTAAGCAGCAACCAATCAGATGTCTTGGTCCCGCCTCCTCTAGTTGCTTGAACCCACCTCCTCTACAATCTGATTGATTATTCCTCTGAACCAATCACTTTTTGTTCAGCCCTCAGAACATTTGAGTACCCTACACTGCCTGAGACAGGCTCCAGGCCCCCCACAACCAAGAGGAGTGCTTTGAAGATAACTTGATTGATGATTAGTTTTGTTTCCGGGCCGACCTGCTGTGCGATGTTGTCATTAATCACGATGTTGCCAATCTGATTCAGCAGCTGGGCCAGCGAGGTGATGGTGGTGCTGGCCATAGCCACGTTCTCCACGCTGCGTGTCCACTGGAGGCGGTCCAGCTCCCAGTCCGTCAGCCCGGCACTGCCTGGGCTTTGGAGCAGGAATCCCGGAGCCAGGTGGGTTGGCTGTACGCCCAGCATCAGCCTGCAGTGGGCACACACACACACAGACACACACACACACACACGGGCTTAAACACAAGGACAATCCTCACCAGAATATGGCAATTTGATTAGTCTTCCGCTCAGCCAGCACTGTGATTACATTAATAATTTAATGTGTATATATGCACCTGAATTTTTTAAATAAAGTAACAACCGGCTCAATGGGTGCAAATCAGAGGTTTCTAAAGGCTGAAAACACCAAACTCCAGCTTTTTAAGGCTTATCCTTAGCTACTATGTTTCCTGCTAGCCTGGACTGCTTTGTTGCAATTCCCACTAAGCCGTAAAGCTTATGCATGAAGTGACCAGTTCACCAGCTGGCACTAGTTATGCTGGGTTCCATTTGATCTTGAAAGTCAGAATTTCCAAGTTCCTAGTGTGAAATTTCAACTGGAATGTCCCCTGAAGCCGGAACTCCAACTCAGCAAGTCAGAAGAACCTCTGTAACCCTGATCTCAAAATTCAAGATGGCTGCATCTAACAATGAATCTGGCTAGAAGTGATGCTGCTCAATTGCTACTTGTCGTGATAGAATCTGGTTAACTCAGGTGTGACGTAATTCCCAGCTCCGACCTCAGAAGTAAATGGAACGCAGCATTTGCTCCAGAAATGTGACTGACACCTATATCTCCTCCCACCCCCTCCCAGCACTAACCGCAGCTGCGACAGGAACACCCCCATCACACGGGCCATGTCAATGTTGATGTAAACCGGAACCTCGGCCTCTGGGCCATATTGGTCTTTCACATTGTATACCTGGGGAGGGAGGATGAGAGGCAGAGAAGTCAGGGTTTGCAGAATCTCTGTCTAAACGCACATGTGGTGCCGACCAACCCAGAAGGACAATGTGGTCCAATATCACCCATTGTAGGTACACTGGAGAATCTGTATGTTTTGGTTTTTTTTTTGGGGGGGGGGGGGGTTAGGGTTAGGGTCAAGACCTGGATAATGCATTATGGCAACCGTCTCCATGGTGACAAGTGTGTCCACATAGCTGTGACTGAGTATTCACCATGATGCCCCCCCAGCGGGGGCTGTGGAATGCATTGCTGGGCACCTCCCGCTTGCCCTGGTCCTGGATGAGAAGGGGGGCATGATGGGCATCCGGAACATACAGGAGGAAGTTAAGCACCGGGTTTGACGAGGCTGCATTGGAGCCTAGCAGGGCAGGGCACAAAGTACCAGTCAGCATCGACACAGTGTCATAGGGACGGATCTGCAAAGTTCAGGTCCAGAAAGGAGAAATCCAGACCAAGATTCGGTTTCAACCAACCAGTTGAGCATAAAGGGTGAATTTCAATATGTGTACTTGACCGTAGTTGTGTTCTCGTGTGCCTGTTTTACGTCATCTTCCATTGCTGAAGACCAGTTCAATACTAAAAACATAAGTACAGAACATACATCGGTTGCATCCTCGCCAAACAAGACCAATCCCATAATTCATTGCACCCCAAGTTCATTCTTGGAAGGCAAGTTAGCAAGACTGGTCTTACAAAGACCACAAGTACAGTCCTTGTGTTCTTGGTATTGAGATTCACCCAAAAAGTCACAGTCACAGAGTTCTCAATTGGTTGGTTGAAACAAAACTTTGGTCTGGATTTCTCCTTTCTGGACTGAACTTTCCACCTCTGACAACTGGACACTGAAGACACAGATCCTAACCACTTAGGACTGAACAAGTTTAACGGCACTCTATTCATCACGAGGGTGTCACAGATGGACAGACAAACTCACCCAGCTTGGCTTCTATGGGGTTGATTACATGGGCCAGGCTCTCCGCGCTGAGTGTGTATGCCGACAGCTCGCGGTTGAAACGGGGCTTGACCCCCAGGACAGCGTAGTACAGGATCTAAAAGCAGCATGGTGGACAGGAGGTGTGATTCCACAGAATCAACTGCATGTAATCAGTGGTGTGTCTACAACTATGCACTGTGTTCACTGCAGGATCACTGTACTTTGGATCCATCTCTCTATATCTTCTCTACAAAATCAGTCATACAGTGAGTCTGCGGGGTGGGGGGGGGTAATTCATTAGTGATGTTTAGGCCAGGGAATCCTGTGTGACGGTCATCTGTTCACAGTTGTGATTCCTCAGACGTCGAGACCCCGCCTTTCTGTTCAGGAGCGTTTGCCGAGACACAGAAGCATGACATCGGCGCAGACGGAACACCTGCGAGTCCACTGAGTGGTTGGCCACGGGAGCCAGCTTGTCCAGCAGCGGCTGGATGTAGGTCTGCACCGCCCCCTCGATGTCCCAGTGCAGACTGTGGGACTGGGGGTCTGGGTTCAGCAGACTGAAAGTGATCTCGTAGCCTGGGGAAGGGGGCAGGTAACAGGGGATTAGGGTTATGGTTAGGATTAGGAGAAGATCAGCCGTCTGCTGGTCCTCTGTGTACTACATCAACATTTTGTTTTCCATCCATTCATTTTCTGTAACCGCTTATCTTATTCAAGTCGTGGGGGGTCTGGAGCCTATGGGTGCAAGGCAGGAAACAACCCAGGGTGGGTCGCCCCCCCACCCATCGCAAGGCACACCTATGGGTAATTTGGCAACTCCAATCAAACTCAGCGTGTTTCTGGACTGTGAGGGGAAACCGGAAACACTACAACGACACGGGGAGAACATGCAAACTCCACACACATGACGGAGATCTGAACCACGGTCCCAGAGGTGTGATTTTTAAAATAAATTTTCCTTTATTTTTAAAAGACTTTTAAAGCATGGAAAACATGGAGAACCATCCACCTACCCGTGCCTGCTTATCCCGGAAGGTATGGGCGCAAGGCAGGGAACAGGATGGGGGGAAAGGTGATTAATGGGGAGGGAGAAGATTTATGCGGAAATGAAGTCTGAGATCGAGTTTTGAAAAGTGGGATGGAGAGAAGGAAAGAGAGGAGGAGGAACAAAGAGGACACTCGTGGATGAAGAGATACAGCTGAAAGACAAAGGCTGCCTGGGTGTGCTGCAGAGAAGCCGGAAGCTGAGCGCCACCTAGTGGAAAAGGTGGAGCTAGCGACCCTCACCGGGGCTGGACTTGAAGGCCCTCATGCTGTCGGCCAGGCTCTCCCTGCTGAGCCGGCTGCCGCGGATGCGGTCGCCAAGTGCAGCTGTGATGTCACTGTGACTGAAGGACATCGTCCGCAGCACCTGTTCCACCTGCGGCTCCAGCACAGCTAGAACCTCTTTCAAGGTCCCTCCCAGGGCTTCCCAGCCCCGCAGCAGCGCCGTCCTCCTTTGCCCCACGTACACCTTCACACCCTGAAGGAAGAAAACAGCTGTTAGACTCAAATTCTAGTGCATGTGCAAATCTGTAGTTAAAAAACCTCATTGTGCACAACCTCTCACCTCTGGCAGCAGCGTGGACGACTGGGGGATGACGTACATCACCACTGAGCCACAGGGACTCTCACTGAGCCTGTGCAGGGAGAGGTCAGCATCTGGCCAGCCGGCCACAGGTGCATCAGAAAAACTACAATTCCCACACTCTCATAAGCATTGCACACATCTAACTGAAAGTAAACAGGCAAATGTATAAAATGAAATTCATATTTATTCAGGTCACCTATTCCAGCTGATATTAAAGCAGGGAATCTCCAAAAGAGTTTATCGATTCCTACCCCTGATTCTTTAAGGAATCTGCCTGATCTGCCCAAGGCCTACAGCAGCTGACGGCTATAGTGGCTGCTAACAGGCTTGTGGTGATCAGTCAAAAGCCCCCCTCGTTTTAGCAATCACTAAAGCTATCCACTAAGGAGGAGCATAGCCAGCACTCACAACACTCAGGGTGAGGCCTCACCTTCAGTGCTTGGCTGCCCCAGGGCGTCCTCCTCCATGACGGTGGCCGTTCGATACTTCGTCTCATAGCGGTACTTCAGTCTTGTGTTTTCTGAGTAGAAGGAATTTGATACAGAGCCAGCTGTATAGTACTGAAGCTCAGTAGTACTGACAACTTTTAATTAAAAACCTCCTATTCGCATTAGGGCCTTGGTTTGAAATTGTTTGATTAAAGACCTTCTCCGACCTGCAAAGTCATCTTTCCTCAGCGTCTTGACTCACCATTCACCTGGTGCTGCTCCTCCCGAATCTGGCTTAAGGGAACCTTCTTTTGCTGCTCTGGGGTCAGGGTGCCCCTGGAGAACACCACCTCCACCTCCATGCTAAGCTGGAGCTGTGATGTGCACCAACGATAATCATTACAACTGATTCCGTCACCTGGCAACACCACCACTGAAATCTAATACAGCTCAGGCGGAAAAATTGGCGATATTCACTTCTGGTTCAACTTTCTTACCACTACTTGAGCACGATAACACGTTTTCAGGTGCAAATCTAGTTAAGTTACCTGCAGAGAATCGAGCTCCCGGATTTGAGAGTAGGGGAGCCAGGCGCGGTAGGTCTCGGTGGTCTTCCACCAAAGCGGAATGCCCACCATTATCACGACCGCCGCCACAGAGAGCGCCGCATATCGCCCGCGGAACTTCTCTGAAAAACATGACAGCGATGGGTGTGATTAACAGATGTGCAACTGTCACTGTGCAAAGTCGCTTAACGCAGTGAAGTGTCGATCGATCGAAGCTGTGGAGTTTATGAATTTAGTATACGATTACCATTATGTGAAATAGCACCTGCCATCCAGTTAACTAGAAACATCTTCAATAGTCGCGTCTTTCTACATCGGGATCAAGCAATGTAATGAAAATATAGCTCTTTCGTGCACTACATATTTATTTCAAAATGTATCAATATAAAAGTAAAATTAGGAATATATTCTTGGTTATATGACACAGAAATTTGCACTCACCCACTTCCGCGGTAGCCATTGCTGTCTGAATGAAGACGCATTTGATTGGATACAATTCTGTCCAATCAGAGCTTGAGCTAAACTCCCCTCCAATCACCAACCAGCACTCCGTACTACAGGACGTTATAGATTTATTGGGTGTTTTGCCATGTTATTATTATTGTCATTTAAAAAGATTTTTGTATTTTAATTAAGAGCATTTAATTTTTTTATTTTATATTACATAATTATTTTATATAAATATATTCATATCCATATTTATTTGTACACATTCATATTTATTCCTATATTTATTTTACTTTAGTGTTTGTCCTGTGTCAATCACCCTGAAATTAGTAATTACTATGCCTAAAGTGGGACGTCTGCATTCGTTCATCTACAGAGCTCAAGGCAGATGTGCTCCCGGGACAGGATGCCAGTCCCTTACGGGAATTATACAGTATATACAGGCACACAATCATATATTATGGCTATTTTAGAGAAACCAGAGTACTAAAACAAACACCAAGCAGCAGATTTAAGGAATCTAAAGATCGAATTACGTCGTATTCTTTGCCGAACACAAAAAAAAGGTCAATTATCAAGCTATGCTGTATAACTCTAATTCTACGAAATTGCTCATGCACTACACTTCATACGAAATCATAACCATTCATGAGTATGATTATATTGCACTAATTTACCAGCACCTTATCACTGTGAATGTGTGTATATGTGCGTGTGTGTACATATTTTATTCTTTGGATTTTATTGTAATTTTGTACTGTGTATCTGCTGGCGCGCTCCAAACGAAATCTCATTGTACTTGTACAATGACAATAAAGCATCTTTATCTTTATGTCATTTGAACTACTCTGACAACGTCACAATTGAACTGACCCAAGTACCGATCTTCAAACTCCTTGGCATGACAGATTGCTCAAAAATCATACCCTTTCCCCTTAATAACAGTTCTTAATAACCTTTAAAAGTCCTCATAGTAAAAAATATGCTCAGACGATGGTGGTTCTAGCTTGTATGGTGTCCTGGGAGAATGCCCCCCTTCAGCACCCTCCCCCCTGCCAACAAAAATGTGCATTCATGTTGCCCATGCCCATACCTTTATTTGCCAGTGTGCTCAGATACACTTGGTATTAGTCTAAATACTAGAACTCGTGGCCATAAGTGGAAATTAGCGGGAGAACATTTTAAAACAAATTTGAGGAAGCACTTCTTTACACAGCATGTAGTTAGAGTATGGAATAGTCTTCCTGCTAGTGTAGTGGAAGCTAAAACCATGGGTTCCTTTAAATCAGAGCTAGATAAGATTTTAACAACTCTGAGCTATTAGTTAAGTTCTCCCCAAACGAGCTTGATGGGCCGAATGGCCTCCTCTCGTTTGTAAATTTCTTATGTTCTTATGGACATCCTACATGAAACCACCCACTGACACTCTCTGGACACATGAATCCTTGGGGGACAGGAGGTGGAAAGTTATTCAGCTACTAAAGATCACCTGACTGAGGCCTGGTCAGTGGCAGAGCTGGTGGTACAATAGTAGAATGCAGTATGGTCAGCTTAGGTAACAGTAAAACCTGTTCGCAAAATGCAGTCTGCCTGGGGCATACCCCTACCTTATGAATATGTTGCCTAGGATACCCCCCCACAACCCTGACCAACAAGAATGGTTTTAAGATGAAACTTTCTAGAATAACTCTATGTGATAGATATGGCGATGGAATTGATGGTTCCGTATCACATAATTCAATAAAACATCAGGACTCCACACAGATTTCCAGATGTCTAGTTTATTTTCTTCACTATCTGGTACACCAGGTGGATAACACACCGATCACAGTAGTAGACCACACCCACATGAGAGACCCAGCCAATCGCTGTTTGGACAGCAAGCAGAGACGCTGCAGGTCAGTGAGCTTCTGGCTGCGCGCTTGGGAAAAGGGTGGGACACGGACTGACACGGAAGCATCACACACACTGGGAGCACAAAGTCACACACAACATTGCTACAATTTAAACTGACTATTCTTTAGTGATGACAGAATTCCACAACTTGGTTGAAAGACAGGTAAGATAAGAGGTTGATAGTATTTAGTCACTTACAGCTACAATTCTTCCCAAGCTGCTACCATTGCTGTCATAAATAATGAAAGGACACCACTGCCAGAATGATAGTATTCATGCAGGCTGCCCACATACAGGAAAATACTTTGAAACTCCATTGCAGTCTGTATTTATTCAGCATTTTGCATCAATTAATGTGTCTTCTTCCGGCTTCTAGTCTAAGAAAGTGCTTAGTACCCATAACCTTAACACTTAAACCATGTTCTCCTGAACAGGTAAACACTATATTATAATCTATTAATCTGTAATGCCCAGCTAGCTATTTCTCCAGTAGCTTCTCCCAGCCAAACCACCCCTGATGCATTTCATACGACATACAATCTAATATCAACACTGATTTTAGAAATATAGTGACCTAAAGTACTGAAGACAGAGAAGGCCTGTGCTGGTTGATGACACTGAAGGAAAAAAAAAAAACAAAAAAAAAAACATAGCAGCAGCAGATACTATTGGTCAGTAGACGCTGGAACACGGCTGTGATTGGGCAGCTCAGTAGGCGTGATTGGCTACGTAGAGGGACTGCCCGGCTGCTCCGCTGCCGTCACCACTGGAGATGTACTTGCCCAGTGCCGCCAAGCCATTGACCTGGAAAACAGAGATCATTGATATTGGGCAGAAGCTTGTCAATTAAGCACCTCTAACCTACAAGCCTGGGGTACAGAATAAAGAAAACTGACCCACAGCTGAAGACAGGCCAACATGCACGTACCTCAGCCCGCTTGATGAACTCCTCCGTGGCAGCCTTCTCATTCTCCTTCTGCCCACGCCAAGCGTTGAGGGCAGAGGCTTGCAGGGCGCGGCCATAGGAGAAGGTGAGCGCCCAGGGCTTGGACAAGGGACAGGTGTTGATGGCATTCAGGTTGATGGAAGCCTCTTCCTCACTCTGACCTCCAGACAGGAAAGTCACACCTACAGGTACACAGGAGCATCAACACAAATCAGCCACGATTCAACAGTGCGTCAGCGCGTCAATCAGAGCGACGACAGGCATGACGCTACCGGTGACGGCAGGAGGGACTGTGCGACGCAGGGCGGTAACAGTCGCCATGGCGATCTCCCCCGCGGTGACCTTGCTGGGACAGGCGTGGCCTGGGGTCACCATATTGGGCTTCAGCAGGGTGCCCTCTAGATACACGTGGTGGTCTGACAGGGCCTTGTATACGGCAGCCAAGACCTGGAGTGCACATGGGTAGGTGGTGGGTCAGAGCTGCCAATCTGCACGGAAACCAGACAGGCTCTCCTGAAGCTCAAAGATCCATCTGTCTCACACGCACCTTCTCCGTGACATACTGACAGCGCTTCAGGTCGTGATCACCATCTGGCAAGATCTCAGGCTCCACAATGGGCACGATCCCATTCTGAAACAAAATTAAAAGTTCACCATTACAATCCTTAGTCCTACAGCTGGTACTAAACAGTAGTGATGAAGAAATTAATCTTCATGAACCATTTGCTGTATTTTCTGACCCCACTAGATGGTGCTCTCTGTTCATAAAAGGGCCCAAAGAATCCCCAAAAGCAAACCAAGAGCACCATCTAGTGGGGTGAAAAAAATACAGCAAATGGTTCATGAAGCTCCATTTGCCCATCACTACTAGACAGATAGGCAACTTCCACAAAGCAGGCTAGCACCCATCCCCATTGGGTGACAGTGTCTCCGCCCCCTCACCTGCTGGCAAATACTGGCGTAGCGTGCCAGCACGTTGGCGTTCTCCATGATGGCCAGCTGGGAGGGCGTATGCTCGCTTATCTTCAGCACGCAGCGCCACTTGGCGAAGTCAGCCCCATCCTTCTTGTACTGGGCGCATCGCTCAGAGAGGCCGTCCAGGCCTGTGGGATGGGAACAGCGAAAGATTATGGGGATAGATGTTATCATGCAAATCACCTCAGCGGGTGTTTGTGTGATTGTGAGTGTGCCATACCCTGGGTGGTGGTCTCTCCGTCTGTCCCAGCCAGTGGCACCACACCCTTATCAACCTGCAGAGGGAGACACAGAGGGGCTGATAATTACACAAAATGGCAATCAGAATCCTCTTCTGGATCAGGTTCATCTACAACAGGGGTCCTGGAGAGCTACCATCCAGTAGGTTTTCTATCATACCTGGCTTCTGATGAGCCTCACCTGTTCTCAGGTAAATACCAGGAGCAGGTGTGGCTCATCAGAAGCCAAGTGGGACAGAAAACCTACTGTATAGTAGCTCTCCAGGACCGGAGTTCGAGACCCCTGATGTACAGCATACAGCAGACTATGGACGGCAGCCCCCAATGTATGTGAATGCATGCGTGAGAACGCGACTGTGCTAAAAGTAAAACTGTCATTATAATTACTATATAATATTTCATTGAAATGTAAAAATGGCTTTATACAATATCGCACTTGAAATTTGGGTGTCACAGCAGCAAAAATAATCAGCCCATATCACCAACAACTAAAGAGTAATAAAGAAATATCAGAAAATCCATCCATCCATTTTCTAAACTGCTTATCCTTCTGGGTCACGGGGGGGTCCGGAACCTATCCCAGAAGCAACGGGCACAAGACGGGGATATCAGAAAATATCACTAATAAATATGACAATAAAAGGGAACGTCGGTATTTAGTGTGAAAAAGGTGCAAATATATGCCATTGTAAGAATGATGTGTGAAGTATAATACATTTGTGTACATATATGAGCATTACTGTCATATAATAAAGAAATGTAGTCCAAGGTTTGAGACCTACAACCCAGTAATTGCATATATCCCTAATACCTGACAGTACAACAAACGAGTGTTCTCCTGTAAAGAATCGGGCTGCATCGACAGTCTCAAACTCTGTTCCATGCATTGTTCTCTACCAGTCGTAAAATATTTAGTGTATGCATGCTTCAACTCTGAGAACATGCATGGTCCAAATCTGGCAACGACATGTACACTATAGATGAACCGGTTCCTGAAGGAACGGATCGGGTCGGCTGTACGGATCAGGTAGCGACAGTGTAGCTAAAGATCCTCTGTAAGACTATAGGAAGCAGAAGTACCAGTCCCGCCCCCCTACTTCCCGTTACCATGTCTCCTATTGGTCTTAAGCACTGTCAATCTCTTTCCTGATCTGATAAATATAGTGGTCCTCTTCCTCCTAGCTTAGCCTCCTCAAGGTTAATACTTTTAACAGAGGCCCTGGAGCACTGGATAGGATTTAGTATTAAGTGATTAAAATCTGAATCAAAGTGTCAACAGTGTGGCAAAACAAAAACAGGACGTGGCAACCCAGTCCAGCCCCACCCACGTCACCACACCTTGATGCCCACAACCATGCCCCGGTCCTTGATCATCTTGGTGAATGACGTGCCGTCATCGGTGTTCTGGTACAGGGTCTCATGGAAGAAGATGACACCGCCAATGCAGCTGTCGATGCGCGTGTCGGCAGTGAACAGCAGCTGGCGGTACAGCCTCCGGTTCTCCTCTGTGTTCTCCACACCAATCTGATTGAACCGCTTGGCCATGCTGCCTATATGGACAGGCAACACCATTGCTTTTAGGCTGAGAATCACTGCAGTTGGATATGAGTTACGCTTATTTGCCCCACACCCTTGTTTTGACCTTTTGCTGCTACAGATTCCCAGCCCTCTAGCACCCTCTACTGACCCACAGACTCATCGGCAGCCAGGATGCCCTTCCCGGGAGCCACAATGCGCTGGGCGATGTCCTGCAGCTCCTTCTTCTGCTCAGCAGTGAGGGCGGGGACCTGGTGTGTCATCTTGGCTGTAGCTTAGAGGCCCTGGGGGGGGGAGTGTGTCAGATAGATTTCTTCCTACACCACACACCTGAGACGAGCTTGAAGCTGTGTGACAGACTTTCAGAGATACTCCTCCTCTATCGCACTGCGTTAGCGGTAATGAATCTGCATCGGTAAATGGTTCCGCGCAGAGCTCCAGTGCCACTAGGGGCAGCAGCGAGCGCCACCCAAAAAGGAATCACAGCACATATTTCATGCCACTGATGTGCACAAACACCCAGCTGTTCCCTTCAGTGGAGAATTTCCCCTTTGTTTGTCCACCTGTGACCCCAAGATGGTGTAAAGCGGAGCCCTTTGGGGTGGATTGCCACTACCATGTCAGTCAAGTGAGGATCCCAGCTGAAGCATTACAGACAGTCCCCACTCTCACATGGCCGCTTTTCAGAAGCCCCGCCTTTCATTCACTCTGACTGGCCGACAGGCTCGCCTTGCATAAGAGACACAACAGGGCCTGTGGTGGTCATGGCAACCAATCCTGGAGGGATTACATAAGAGTCAGTTTATGTTAGAGGTGAAATATCCCCTCATCCGCTTTTTAATAACATTATCAGAGGTGTTTATACTGTGTGAAACCGGCAGCACCCCCGACACAAAGCAGTGACATTGAGACATGGGGTTATTTATACCCAAGGACACACCAGAGCGGGCCCCGTATCAGCACCGGTGTCAAACAGAACAAAAAGCAGACATATAAGGTTCTCCACATGTCTCACCACAGGCAAACGCAAGGCCCAGGTATGAAAATGCAGTGAAAATCCAGAACTCCAGGATACTTCTTAGTCTGCACTGGCTTTCCAACAAACAGAGCCCCATTGAACCACCCCTCCCCCCCCCAACCTCACCTCAATGAAACACCAAGGAGACACAGATATGCAGCCAAACCACCAGAAAGGGGAGAGTCAGTCCCAGGCTTTAACATTTGCATCCCAACAGCCAGTTCCAGTCATTATTGTAAGTGCCTTCTGGCTCAGTGAAAACCTTTCTGACCACGACAGTGACAAAACGGTACTGTTATGCAAAAAATAAAAATCAGAAATCCTTTCATTTAACCACGAACGATGCTCAAATATGGATTAAGGAAGGCACGTGAATAACAGAGTCATGTATTCTTAAACTATCCATTTGTTTTATTGCTTAGGGTTATTTATCAAAGAAAAAAATAGTCTCCTTATTCACCCATGCAGCGATCACGCAATATCGCGCACCATAACCACTGCGCTGTCAAATCACATTCACGGTGCAGATTTAGTGCAGGACAATACGCATTAAATTTTATTTAAAATTCCAGAGCAAAAACACTAGTGTGCTCTGATCTAGCCGGAAGCTTGGTATAGAGCAGGCCCTTTAAAAAAAAAAAAAAAACACCAGACAACCGCAAATGCTATCCGCCATCACTTCCAATAATAACAATTGTGCTTTAAACTGAAAGGGACACCTGACCGGCTGGTGTCGGCATACAGGTGGGGGCGGGCACTCAGCTGACTCCCTGTCCATTTCAGCTCATCGCTACCGCCGATGCTTTAATGAGACATCATCGTTTTGCTGACGCACCATTCAAGGAAAGTAAATCCAATCCTCGGTCAATTAAAGTGTTTAATTTAGAAATTCTGAAACATGAAAAACCTATTGCAGTATAACAAATTGAATATTTATTACGGACGACAAACAGTAGCCATTTTGGATATTTTCCACGTTTAGTACTTGCTCCACAGACAAGACAAGCCCACACAGTGCCTGCATTTTTCGATGCATGTCATTCACGGGCGCCAGACGACGTGCCCACCTCACGCCAACTTATTGGTTTTTCGGGATCGTCATCACGTTAACTGCTCAAATGCTGGAAGCTTTATCGCTTCAACGGAATGCACTGATGCGCAAAAAGCCAAATCTAATAATGCATGTATTAAAACAGACCCCACGTATCTAATTCGCGGTTTTGTATGTGCTAGGATAACGATAGATTAATCTATAACAGTTTATATGACTGACAATATGCGATGTACACGATGCGGCCCAACCACTAATCCGAACACATCGACCAAATATAACCACCTGCAGGCTCAAGAAGTCACAGATATTTAAAGCAGCTCTCAATATTAAATGAACATGCATCACAACTAAGAAATAATACAAAAATCCAAATATGCTATCTATTAATACCTGAGAGTCTAATGAATTCGCCTATAAAAATACAGAAACAGTGCGAAGCTTACTGGGTACAAGATGAAGCACCGCCTGTATCTCACCTGTAAAGGGAGAGAGGAGGAGGTCACTGGCTGCCGGACAGGGATCTGAAAGTGGAGCGCTTCGCGGAGAACCGAGGGTCTGTGCCGCAGAGCTACGTGACGACTTACAAAACAGGACCATATGGGGGCGGGGCTTAGCGGCCAAGTCACGCCCACGAGCACGAGCTCCATACATCATGCCCCCGGCCGTGCGTTTATGGTGCATCTGCACGTCTGCTCTCCTCTTTTTAAAAATTAAAACTGTACAGCATATCCCGATTGACATGAACCAGTTTCACCAGTTTTGTTATCCGGTACACAGATTTAAGTGAATGTCGCGCCATCTGCTGCTAACATCGAAACGCAATTACATTATTCATATCTATAATACACCAATAATTAGTATTATAATTAATATTAATATGTGTTCTTTTTTTTTTATAAACTAGCGCATCCATTTCACTCTAGTTGGTAGAACCACTGAACACATTTATTACAAAGTCCTTAATGTCTCAGTCGTGTCTCCACTTTGATTTTTACGTTGTCTGGTAAAATGTGCGTCTGTTAAATAAATGCATCTTAATGCTCCGGTTTAAGTCATCCAACAGGTGTCTCCTCCCATCAGGGACAAGGTGTCACTAAAAGAAACAAACTGCTTCCCTACAGCAGGAGCTGGCGTGAGTGCTGGAAAGCAGACATCGATCGATTTGCTTCTCTTTCATTCAATAAACCAAAACAGAGCCAGACAAGGAGCTAAGATTAGCTTACCAAATCCAAATGTCCTTGTCGAAGCGGACGCTTCTCTGTAACACTGCGCATTTTAGCGCATCTTGAATAAATAATATCCTATTTGTAATGGAAAATATTGAACAGCCATAGGCTCTGACGAAAGGACCGTGCAGGTCGGCGTTTACGTCACAGCGCCTCATGCTGCGTAGCTCAGGGTCGCTCAAGTAGGCCACAAACTTCAGACGGACAACACACAGTAACAACGTTTAATGACAACGAGAAATGAAATATCGCCGATCACTCAGTCTTCTGTTAAGACACTCTCTCAGTCATTACTGTTTAAAACTTTTATACAATATAAATAATACTGGCAATTTATAAATAGACAAATTACATCCAAGTAATTAGAAAATGTGGAAAGAAGTACACTGAAGGACAAAACTGTGATATACTGGTCATGGCTCATTCTATCACATTAAAAATAATTACTTCAATGTGTAGTTTACGCCTCTCATGGCCTAACCTTGTCTTTATTCAATTTGGTGAAAACAAGGCAGAAACCAACACAGACACTCCTTAAATCTGACTCAAGGAGTCTAACACCTTTGTATTTTGTTTATTGTAAGACACTATAATTATTTGTCTGTGGAAAGGGATCAAGTCTCCATTTTCAACAGTTTATACACCTTCAAAGTCCTGGTTGAACAATCAATAGAACAATACCATCAAAAAAATCAACAGGTCTAAAACGAAAAGTGAAAAATGGCTGAATATAAAAATGAAGACTGACTTGTCTGTAAAGGTGCCAGGGTGGCTGTCGGCGAGCCAGAGAAAATGCCTCTTAACCGGTTAGCTCTGCACTGTAGCCCCACTAAGCAGCCAAGGTGACACCTGAGGTGTCATTCTACCAAAAAAAACAGGTAGGAAAGCAACCCAGAGCAGCTTGTTTTATATTCATCACCCCAGACAACAGCAGCACAGTGAAATCGTATCTCCACACCTTGACGTTATGTGGATGAACTCACGTTAGGTTTCAACACTTAGCATTGAGGTATGGAATAGATCACAGCTGCCCCAGGGGGGTAAATCAGTTGTCAGTCTTTCTAAAAACACCAGGAGGAAGTTTATAGCCTTCCTCTTCTGTCCAATGTTGAGCAGAATGAGGGATGAAGTTCCTGGGCAGGTGTTTGGTGCTGTTCCAGACACTGACCCAGGAATGTCTCCAGACATTTCCTGTTTTGTTTCAACGTCCTTAGGATGATCTCTCACCTCCGCACTATTTAGCAGAAATGTACTGTGGAAGGGGACAGAGGAGGGTTTAAGCTCTTCAGTTATTATCAAGTGATGACAAGGCAGTTTCCAAACGCCGCCAAAACTCTGTCCATCCAAGTGGCCAGAGAGTGGGAGAATAAGAAAAAGGATAAGGGGAGCCAATCACATACTCCATTTCTGCTTCTTCTATTTACTGTCTGCCTATGAAAGACTCCTCCTTATTGGCCATCAGCCTTGTCACACAAATACCTCCTCATCGGAGTTTTTCAGAGGGAGGCTACCAGTGGGAGTGGGGGGCAGGTCTATGCTTGATGTGACAGGGGAACCAAGGAGGTCACAGTCGAAGTCCTGGAAGGGTTCCGAGTCCAAGCCACGGCGGGCTTTAGCCTCGCGGTCGGGCCGATGCTTCAGCTCCAGGATGAGCTCCATGGGGGTCTTCTGAAGAAGCTGGGAGTCAAAGGGGGTGCCACGGAAGAAGGTCTGGTGCTGGAATCGCTCCAGGGTGTGCAGCCGCTTTGCGGGGGTCTTACACAGGAGCTGAAGCGTGGAGAAGTGGCAGTCCATCATATTAGGCATTCACAAAGACATTGGCATATTATCACACTTACCACAATCTGCTTTACCCAATTAGGTGTGCCATTAGTAATGCTAGCGATGACACTACAGGTCACATGATCCACAATCTAATTGGTCATTGGTCAGTAGCGTGGGAGTAGGGGTGTGTATAGGGTGTGTTCTGGAACCCCCATCACCTCTAAAAGCAGCAGTGCTAGCGGTGGACTGAAGGTCTCAGGCATCTCGTATGGGAAGCTCCGCACTTTCCCCAGCATTGTGCTGTGATGTGGCTCTGGAGGTACAGGGAACTGCAGAGAGTCCAGGCTATGAGTCACATATACACACATAGGGACACAATATCTCATACACACCCACACTGAATGATGCCAGCACTAATATACTGTATACAATCTGACCCACTCAAATGATATGAAAACTATATATACTGTTTGCAGTTGAACTCACATTTCCTGTCACCATGGCAAAGAGGAGAATGCCTAGGGACCACCAATCAGCTGCATGGCTATAGGGTCCCCCACTCAGAACCTCAGGGGCTGTCCAGCAGAAGTGGCAGACAATGCTGTCAGCAACGTGGGCTGCCATCATTAACTCCACATAAATCTCATCAGCATTATAGTGATAAATGACCTGTTTTACATTTTCAGCATATGGCTGAAATGTTTACATTTTACATAATTGGCAGACACCTTTGTCCAAAGTGATGTACAATTGAGGCAAATAGTCAGTGTTGGGCATTTCAGTTCCAGAAGCTACAAATCCAGACCAAGATTTTGTTTCTACCAACCAGGTGAACATAAAAAGTCACAGCCAGAGAGAACTCAACTGGTTGGTAGAAACAAAATCTTGGTCTGGATTTGTAGCTTCTGGACCTGAAATGCCCAACAATGCAAATAGCATGTTACAAATATATGGCTGTCAAGTGCTCAACTATGCACAAGTGCAGCTAGGCTGAGCTTCCAATTAACGCCCAGGTACATGTGTAAATGGTCCTGCAGCAGGAGCTATACAACTTCTAGCAAAATCTAAAATCTTTAAAGGAACCTCAGCCCTAAACATCTTACCCATATACTGCATAGTCCCGCAGATCGTGAAGGTCCTTGCACCTCCTTCCAGACGGCGGGACAGCCCGAAGTCAGATAGGCGGAGATGGCCTGGATCCAGTCAGGAAAAGCACACATGCATACATGGCTTACACGCTGTTGCAGGGTGTGCTTAAAAATAATTAATCATAATTATTTCTGTCACTGAACAACTAAAATCATAAACCAATACATACTGTATGTTCATTTAACTTGATGAAAATTAATCTTGAAAGTCAAGTTTAAAATATCGAATAACGACACAATTATGCAATATTTGATCCTACTGATTTCCTTGGTAAAACATTTGTTCCAGAATAATCCTTTCTGTTCTTGTAGGATGTCAGGTCCCTCCTGAGGCTCTTTTAGCACAAATGATCTCTTTACCTTGGTCGGTCAAAAGAACATTCTCCATCTACAGAGAAACAGAGACCGTCAGCAATAAAAGAAAGAGACAGATGCACATTAATTGGTGCTCTCCAAGTCTGCCTTCATTTTCACATACATAAATTCTCACCTTCACATCCCTGTGCATGATCCCAAAGTCATGCAGGAAACCTATTAATCACGAAGAGAGAGAGAGGCGACAGTATTCACCCCGAGCAGAGCATTAGAGCAGCTTTACTCAACCACAGCTCAGTCTCAGTCACCCTGAGCAGAGCATTAGAGCAGCCTTACTCAACCACAGCTCAGTCTCAGTCACCCAGAGCAGAGCATTAGAGCAGCCTTACTCAACGACAGCACAGACTCACTCACACAGAGCATTAGAGCAGCCTTACTCAACCACAGCTCAGTCTCAGTCACCCCAAGCAGAGCATTAGAGCAGCCTTACTCAACCACAGCTCAGTCTCAGTCACCCAGAGCAGAGCATTAGAGCAGCCTTACTCAACCACAGCTGTCTCAGTCACCCAGAGTAGAGCATTAGAGCAGCCTTACTCAACCACAGCTCAGTCTCACTTACCAAGAGCAGAGCCCAGCTCAGCAGCAAAAACCTTCACAGCATCCTCTGCAAACTGTCCAATCATCATCCAGTAGGTGTAGAGGTCTCCAGTGCTACAGTAATCACACACTGTAAGAGAAATGCAATGTTCGCTAACTCTGACCTCAGGACCTTTGATAGGTGAGAATGTGACATATTGAACTTCAGGCTATTACAGTAATCATGGCAGGAATTACACAGGCAGCAAAAAAACATCTACAGCTCTGGAAAAAAATGAAGAGACCACAGTATGATTTTCAGTTTCACTCATTTCTCAATTTATGGGATACGCCTGAGTAAAATATACATTTCTTGCAAGCTCCTGACTGGCTCATCCCTGCTCCTCAATAATGAAGGGCTTCTTCCTTGTTTTATGGATCTTTCGTCCAGCTTCTAGGAGCCTGTCACGAACTGTCCTAGCAGTGCACTTCACACCTGAATTTAATCTTTCTCATTCTTTTTGAAGGTCACTTGAGCTCATCCTCCGATATATGAAGCACTGTTGGATAAGATTATGGTCATCTCTGGTATTATAAAGTTGCTTCTGCCCTCTACCTGGCTGGTGTTTGGTCATTGCCAGTGTCTCCTGCTTCTTCATGTTCTTGTGTATTGCTGTCTTAGAATCTCTGAGCCTGAAAACAACCTGCCCCGCAGTGTTGCCTTCTGCCAGCAGAACCAGGATTAAACCAGGATTTGAAAATGCAGATTTAAAAACAATATAGAGGGGTCTCTTCATTTTTTCCAGATCTCTGTATGGATTTCACCATATAGGAATATCTGAAAGTCCATAAACTATTATAAATTATAGGTACACATACTCAGCATTACTAGGAGGAGGAGGGAGGATTGCATCCCATAGAAGTAGGTGCTACAGCTAAGGAATACCTACCTCTATGGGCCCAAGGTATAGCAGTGGTTCCTGGTCCTGAAGAGATCCTATGTAGTCCATCCAACATTTAGACCACTGGCGGACTGTTCATGTTGCCAATCACAGTTATCAGTTACATTCCAACTGAGTTAACATCAGGGCTTTGTATATATGAAATCGGTTGTCGTGTGATTCATTAAAACCCATTTTGCCGTCATGGCTAATTGCCTCACGAGAGGCTACTTTGGACAGCATTTGAAATCTGCAGAGGTGAGGTTCTTCAGAAGCAGGGCGAGGAACCACTGATAGAGGTGCGTCACACAATGAAGCTCTGTCAGTACTGTCCTGGACATGACAGAGACTGTGAGGTCAGAGGGTGAGGAACATGGGGGTGGTCTTTAAGGGCTAAGCTCTGTCATGGCCTGAGCTCCATCCTGGCAGGAGCTCCATCTCGGCCTGAGCTGACAGTGAATGGAACTGTTTGCCAGAAACTTGGAGAAGATCAGGAATGTTGTGCGTGGGAAGTGGTGGACAAAATCGAGCTGAGAACGAGAACCGCTAGTGCCAGCCATGTAACTTTAACCCTTCCTGGGACGTAAGTTAGTTCTGGTCTTTATTGTTTAGCTGCCAGAGTGTCCTCTCCATTTCCCAGTACGTGGGAGTTGTTCTAGTGAACCACAGTCACATTCGCAGTGCTGAGTGACAAGCCATCAGATCAGTCCTTTGGAATTAGTGAGCGCTGTTCCTTAGCAACGGGCACAGCTCAAAAGCCTCAATCAACGGACACCAGCCAGGGTCATGCCTGGCCTGGGGGATTATCTCCCTCGCACTGGACACAAAGACAATGGATTAGCAAGGGCTCTGAGCTCATGCATGTGCACTTATGCCCAGGGCTCTCAAAAGACATCACAACTAAGTTACACTCAGTAGAAAGGCTGCTCATTAACCACCAAGCACTTACACTGCCTGGCTAATAGTCATCATTTTGCATTATTCATTATTAAGTCAAGTAGGGATTTATTGTCATACCTTCCATACTGAGATAACATTCCCTCAGGTCCATGGGACAGCAAACAGACATACATGTGCATGGTCTTCTGTGCAAATCACATACAGTGCACAGCAAGGGCTTTAAATTTGAAAATATACTGGCAATCTATGCATTTATTTTTGTTTTGTGCTAATTTTCATGTTTTATTTCAGTCATCTGAAAATTATTTTGGCTGGAGTGCATCTCTTGGCCGTTGCACCCACTATGGTATTTATGCTACCTACTACTGCAGTACCACTGTGTAAGTCTGTGTTATTCGTGTTGATTACCATGCTGAGTCTGCATCTGCATCTGCCCAGGACTGCAGCACAGGTCAGTCAGAAGCACCCTCAGGGACAGGGGGAATTTGGGGGTGTGGTAGTGGTTGTGGGTAGGGGTGGGGTGGGTTTGGGGGGGCGGGCTGTGCCCCTGGTCACTCACTAATGAAGAGGTGGTTCTGGGTCTGCCAACAGTCCTGCAGGTCGTGGAGGAAAGGGTGACGGACCTGACGCTGCAGGGACAGTCAGCAACACTAGGTGTCAGCAGCGAAGCTGCAGCCTTCGGGGGCGGGGCCAATGGGGAGGGGCTCTTCACAAGTGGCAAAGCAATGGAACATCCTAATCCCTTGCAATGTCAGTTTTAAAGGAACTGGACTGGAAATTAGTGGGGCAACAGAGATAGTGCAAAGATGCAGGCCAGAAGGAATAAACACACAGCAAGAACCTCCCAAAGTTTTCATCCAGTCCTCAATCAGGCGCCAGTGAGCAGCGATCGGCTGTAAGACACACCTGAATGATGACCTCCTCCTTTGACTGCTGGAGGATTCCCAGCCTCAGCACCTCAGATTTCGGTACCATCTAGCAAAGACAAGACAAAGCACAACAAAATAGCAAGATCAGGCCAAGGCAGGTGCCTAGTTCATGCCAGAATGGGCCAAACTCTTTCAGATGCAAACCGTCTAGGTGCAAAAATTACACAGGAATCACTGGGAATCAGCTTGAAATGAACCTTAACTCTCCAGAAATTTGGCTCTGTGGAATATGGGATGCCTCCTGAATCCATGCAGGTTTTTGCACAGGGCTATGCGATCAGACTGATACCACTGTTGGGCCTCTGAGCTCCAGGGGTGCTGGCTGACCCTGCACTGTGACCCCAAAGTTTGTTCTCACCTCAGTATGTGTCTGTGTGTCTCATGGAGAGCAAGATGAGATAGGTGAAAAGATCATTTCCCCATAGCAATCAACAAAGTACATTGCATTGTATTATACTCTACCCTACTCTACTATAGTCTACTATACATCTGTTGCATACATGAGGTTCTGAGTGGAAAATACAAATAGAAGCTGACCTTCACAGCATAAGTGTTCTCTTTGAACTTGTCCTTCACCTTCAGGATGGGCCCAAAGGAACCTTTGGCAATGTATCCCAGGAACTGTGAGAACAAACAGGGAGATGGATTGTTCTGGTCCAGGAGAAGAGACCGAGCTGAACACAGCACATTAATCGAGCGCCAGTTAATATGCTTTTTATGTTAGAATCCACACATTAGCCACCCAGGAGATTCTCTGGCTTATTTTGTTCACGAAAACAGCTACAACTGACAGACTAGCTGGGAGGACACGCTGACCCCATCAGCAGCAAGGCTTCAATTTCCCATTTGACAAACACCGGCGTCACGGTCATCGGAGCTGCACAGCGAATGCGCCGGTCCGCTGATCTCTGCATTAGCAAGGACGGCTGAGCACAGAGGTCGGCGTCGGCTGACGGGGGCGATGATGATACCCTACCTGGAATTTCTCAGATCCTGGAATACTGCTGTGTGGAAACTCAGGCAGGAACATGGAGGTGAAGGCTGGCAAGCTCCACTCCACCCAGGGCTCCTCGGGGCCTGAGGAGGGGAGGGGGGGGCACTGGGGTCTGTCAGTGCACTGGTTCTCTACCATGCGCTGCCCCCCCATGCAGAGCTTGTGGAGCTCAAAAGCAGAAGAGATGCCCAGACTAGAGAAGAAGGCCCTCCAGCGTGAGTGACATCGCCTGTCTGCTGCCTGTTTTGGTGAACAAGACGCCCATTGGTACCAACAACTTCAGCCCAATGTTAACTCCTACCTAAGGAATTTCATGCACATTTTAATTACATTACTGATTGGTGGAAAAGAACTGCATTCAATTCAGAGTGGAAACCCCTGACTTGCATATCAAGACAGTAGACATTCTGAAGAATAGGATGGAGATCCTACAGCTACATTTGAAACAGGCAAACCTTTTAAGGGCCGCCGTGATTTAAATCAGCCTCATTTTATAGCAGCAGCTCTTAACTCGGGTTCTGGATAAAAACATCATGCTTAAAGTTTATTTTTCTTTAAACCAGTCTATTAATCACTGAGGGAAAAAGCGCACAACTGTGGCACCTTGAAGAAGGAAACGCACAAAACTCGATTTAAAACGTGTAAACTTAGTTTCCTAAAACAGATTCTGCGTGATGTTCGCCTTCACAAAGCCTGCCGGACTAATAAACACGAAAAGTACAATTCAGTTAATACACTACCGAAGTGGAAGCGTACGATTCACCTTCTTAAATGACATTATATCAAAACTACATTCCGCCCTAAGAAATGCGGCACTTACCTTTCTGTTTACACTGGCATCAGCCCCCATTATATTACTGGGTCCGCTCTTTTAGGAACACGGAACATTTCATCCGTCATTTCACAAGGGCATCGACTTGTGAGCTGTCCATCTCCCACAACGCATGGAGACCGCTAGGATTTTCGGGATGGTCCCGGATAAACAAAATAATCGCTGTTTTGTTGACGTAAAGCAGTAGGACCACCCATCTCATAAATATTTAATAACTCATGTTAACGCGTTCGTTCTAACCGACGTTATATATCTACTATTTCACAATATACTTGCGAAGAATATTACGAGTTTGCGCAGCATTTTTACATAAATATGTACATGAATAATTCATGAAAAGAGAGATCCTTCCAAACCAGCTTCTTATGATGGTTACTTTTAACGAAATGAATCATAAACTTGGTTAGATTCTAAAAGCAGCAAAGGCATTTCTTCCAATCCAAGAGCAGTGCTGTTTACAAACAGTACTTGATGCATTTCGCAGGTTTTCCGCCAACTAAATTAATAAACAGAAATAGAGTGCTGAAATTAGATCTAAATTATAAAATGTATAACGGACAACAATTATAAAACAACGATGCTGTCACGTCATACGTTTCGACATTTGAAGAAAACAAAGACGGAATATACGCGCTACTTATTTCACACAATTACAGATGCATATAGATGGTACATATAAAATATACTAAAGTTATCTTAATTTGCCGGTTGTTATATTATTGAAATCTGACTATAGTCTTCATACGATATTACTCCTGTTAAAGATATAACTTCTTTATTATTATAAATATAAAATGTTAATGTCATTCCATACAAGAGAAACGATTTGCATGGATTAGTGTAAAACAGTGGGGAGGGAATTAACGTTTAAATGTGAAATATAGGCCTAAATCTTTAGATCCAAACGCGCGTGAAGCTAGAATTAATAAAGGTTTCATAGGAATGTTTTCTGCTTCACCTCAATAGTCATAGTTCTAGAAAACCATATGAAAATGTAAAAATATGCCGGTTCAATGAATCCGCAATTAGAAGTTCAGTGTCAAGTGCAGCTCAGCTGCGCCTTCAGCTCTCGAACTCTGTGATCTATGAGCTGTGTCTAGTGGTGAACCGTTTGGCGCTTCTACAGTGTTAGCTAGTATATTGTTCGCATTACCATTATATGTATTTCGACATCTAAAAATAACAAGAAGGTTGTCATAATTTATTATTAAAATAACAATTACAAAATGAACGACGTTCGATTATTCAACCTTAGAGCTGTTTTGAATCACGTGTTGTTTGTAGCCAATGAGGGTACTGGTGTTAATTCTGAAACATGGCAGCGTTCATCAGAAGCGTGGGTCGGCAGCTTATATGTATTGAACCTAGAACGGTTTTGTTAGCAAAGGAAAATACGGTAGTAGATATTAAGAGGTATGTACGCGCTCTCAGGCGCAGGCCTGTCGGAGTGCTGTACCCGGAGGATGAGGCTGGAAAGGCACCCAAACCAACACCGGCCAAAGCTGTGGTTGAACACCATCGGACTCCTGGCGGCCAGAAGGACAAGGCGAAATGGTCAAAAACAAACCTCAAAACGGCAGTTCAGAAAAACCTGGATCCTAACTTTATAAGTAAAAATTCGGATCGACATAATAATAAGGCAACAGTAAAAGTATCTGATACATCTTCAGATTTGCTGGATGGATTGCGGTACGAAAAGGCATTCGCCGGTGACAAGAGATTAGCGTAAGTAGGTTTTCTTACAATGGTGATTACAGAGGTTGTTACAATGTAGTAGTGTCAGTTTCTCCAACTTAAACCAAAAGATCTACCGGTGACTAATTCACGCGCTGCCTAGATTAAACGCCTTAACATGTATATTTACAATTTTAGCAGACGCTTTTGTCCAAAGCGACGTACCAGTGACATGAAGTACATTGCAAACATTCATTCCGTCAAGGACTCAACCAGGCACAAGTGCAGCTAGACTGAGTTTGCAATGAACGGCAAGTGTAAGAAGTATTGGAGCAGGAGGTACACACCAACTTTGTTAGACTATTCAAGGTCCAGATGTGCAACATAAGAGCGTTCAAAAACGTAAAGACACATCGGTTTAGTAGAGTAATTCATGGAACAGATGGGTCTTGAGGCGTTTGCTGTAGGTAGAGAGGGAGTCTGATAACCGTATGTGGTTCAGCAGCTCATTCCACTGTTAGGGAAACGCATGAGGAATGTCTGGAGTGACACTTCTTGCATGATGGAGGGCGTTTCAAACAGTGTTTGGGTGACCAAAGGGTGCAAGATGGGGCATAGGTCATAAGGAGCCTTTTGAACGGGAGGGCTGCCAGTCCATTAATTTTATGCTTCCTCAATACCCCATTACAGTTTCTAATCCTCTGTTTTTCATGAGTTCTTGAAACTAAAATGCAGAATGTCACGGCGGAAAAGTTAACCTTCTCCTTCAGGAATCAATAAAATGTTTGTAGTCCTAGAGTCATTTTATACGGATAACAAAGAACAAAATAACAATCGGAATGTAAAAACATTATTTACAGAATTTTACAGAAAAAGTACCAAAAAAAAATAAAATCCAATATAGAACACCAGGGAGAAAAAGTAACTTTACAAACACTACAAAATGATGGCATGGATCAAACTGCGATAAGGTGCAAAATGATGATGATGATAATTGATACTTTATTGATCACCTTGGGGAAATTCCCATTACATTTCCCCCAGTTTGATTTCTGGCCGTGACGGGCAGCGCCCAGGGAGCTGGGGGTTAAGGGGAGGTAATTTCTAGGTAATGTAGGCATCTACCTTGGACAATGACCAATGAGAAATGATACCCATGGAGTAGATACGACAAGAAACATACTGTGACTAATGTATGTTTATCTCAGAATTGTATGCAGCTGCTTGCAGTGACCCGGATGTTTATAGTTGTATAAAGGAGATATTTGGGAAACTGTGAGAATCTGAGTTTTTTAAGAGGGGAATGTGGTGCATTTCTGTTGATTTCCACAGGAGGGCGGTAAGCATCGCTCGCTCCAGGAAGTACCGGGAGCAGCAGGGGAAGGTGCTGCTGGAGGGGCGGCGGCTGATCTGTGACGCGCTGCTGGCCGGCGCCCTCCCTCAGACGCTCTTCTTCAGCAGCATGGAGCAGCTACGGGAGCTGCCCCTGGACAGACTGCGGCGAGCCAGCCTGGTCAAGGTGAAGGGGGAGGACATTCAGACGTGGTCAGACCTTGTTACTCCCCAGGGAGTGATCGGTATGTGCCCCTCCCCGCCAAGCTTCAATTAAAATTAGTGATTAATGTAATGGCACCTTGACAGATGGCTATACATAAATCCCTTTTCAATGCCTGGCTGGTGGGAGTGTTCAGCAGCTCTCTGGCCCCATCTAGCACCCAAATGGGACTTACCTCCCCTCTTGCAGCTATATTCTCACAGCCGGATGCGAAGCGGCTAGGATTTCCCAAGGACCAGCGCGACCAGGCCGTGCCCCTCCATCTAATCTGCGACAATGTGCGAGATCCGGGGAACCTGGGCACCATCCTGCGCTGTGCCGCTGCCGCCGGTTGCCAGAGCGTGCTGCTCACCAAGGGTACGACCACAAGGGGGCGATGGAGAGTCTGTGTTCCCCAGCAGAACGGTGACTGCTGCTGTGTGGAGAAAGCAGTATGGGGGATCAGAGGAAATGGTGCAGAGTGGATGATGCCATTTAAAGGCATTTAAGCAATATGTACATGAAGATGAACATACAGCAGGGTGCATGTGGGGGCTTTTTTTTTCTTGTATGTAACTGTTAGCTACATGGCTTAACTTGTAAATAGCAAATAGGCATAGGTCTACCTCACTGTGAAGTTTTAAATCATAATAGTAATATTTTGGGTTGTTTTGAATTTAACAATTCAAATAATGCCTCAATGTAAGCTAGCTAAGAGCTTAAATTCATGCTAGAAGTGTGCCTTATGCCTGCTTGTCTGCCTGTCTGCTGTAGGCTGTGTGGACGTATGGGAGCCGAAGGTGCTGCGAGCTGCCATGGGCGCTCACTTCCGCCTACCCATAATTCCCGGCCTGTGCTGGGGCGATGTGGCTGGCAACCTCCCGCCTGCAATCACCATCCACTTGGCCGACAACTGCAGTACCAGCAATATCCACCAGGGGGCCAAGGGGGAAGTAGAGCCGTCGAAACTGCCGGCCTCTCGAAAGGCGGGGGATTACGGCTGGGTGAGAAGCTCGTCCGATTCCACCCATGCGGCCGGTGCCTGGGAGTCGGACTCTGATGAAGAGCTTGAGGATGAGGAGCCGGCGGTGTGTCTGCCTGTGGTGGGCGCCCGGGTGTACCACGAGCGATGGGCGGTGAGCCACACGGCCCTCGTGATTGGTGGGGAGACTCACGGGCTGAGCTTGGAGGCGCTGCAGCTGGCCGAGCGGACCGGTGGCCTCAGACTCTTTGTGCCCATGGTCTCCGGCATGGACAGCCTGAACTCCGCCATGGCAGCTAGTGTCCTGCTCTTTGAGGGCAGGAGACAGCTGATTGGGTCAGACGGTCAGGGTGGAGCGAAGAGTGACCGCTCCTGATCACAGGCCATGCCTTCAGCCCCAGGTCTGTGCCCCCTTCGTTTGGGGCAACTTGTTAACCAATATCAGAGATGCCATGTTTCCTGTACAGTTGAGGTGCTCCCGCCCCCTGCACCCCCCCAGCCAGGGCTCAGGCAGTGTAAGGACAACTAATATGAACGGGAAAGTAAAAACACCCGTCTGCTGTGAAATTTTGAAGCAAATACAAAAATAAGACATTAACTTTGTGGATGATATGGCAAAACTTGCTAACTTAAACATACATCTCAGACTTGAACCATGCATGTTATGGACTGCACCTTCCGGGACAATCTACTGCTATGCAGTTCGGTAAATGACATGCAGCACAAAAGTTTCCGCAATTCATTTTTGCTAATATAAGGAGATAATTAAAGCGATCCTGTGAACAATCAACAAAGGAATACACAATGGCAGAGGATATAATTAATGTTTCAGTGCCCCGAGTCGTCAACAGCTTTCACTTTATTGTTTTTATAATTCGTGTACACATCTGTGTTCTAAAAAATGGAAAAATAAAAACAATGCTGATATTTAGACTGCTGGGCATATGCTGATTTTCTTTTTTTTGGGGATGGTGTGTGAAAAGACAAATTGAACATAAACTGCGTTGTGTGGGAGTGATGTCTGTAATCAGAAGGGGAGCAGGGGTTCAGCGTGCGCTCATCCGGGTTCAGATGGGCTCTGGTGTGAGCTTCTCTGCCAGGAAGTCGCTCACAAACTGTTCTGCCACGGCGGCAGTGACTTCCTCCACGTCACGCACGAACTTGGCCCGAGCTGACATGTCCAGGATGGTGAGCAGCGGCGCCGCTTCTGGCAGGTTGGTGTAATCGCGCAGAGAGTCGCTCATGTCGTCCTGCGGGCAAATGAGACGTCATGTTTTTCATCGATCTGTAACAGCTGGTTTGTAGCCTTTGGCATCCAACACCAAAAGGGTCCAGCCAAATATAATCACAGATGCATCGGTTTTTTAATTGCAACAAAGTAGCCTCTGCCTTCTATATAAGACTCCAAGCTGTGGAGATTTATTCTGGGGAGTCCCACTCAGATTTACAATCTGTCTGGTATGTTTACAGTCAACAGTGTGAAAGGGAGCACAAAGGTCTAGCAGTGCAAATCTGTATTAGAACAAATGTCATTTTGTATCTTTATGACAACTGTCTCCGTGTTGTGATGTGGTTGGAAATCAGATTTGAGATTTGCCAAAACAGCTACTGGAGCTGGCCGAGTTGATTGAAAATGACTTTGTCAGTCTTGCCTATGAATTGTTTAGTATAGAATCATCCAGGTTTCTCTTTTCTAGGAGAGGTTTACATAACTGAAGTTGTCTCTGATTTGGGAAAAGCGCTTCATAGGAATGAGCCATTTATTATATGCAGGTGGTGTATTTCAAGGCAGCTGGGAATGTTTTTTAAGAAGCTGGTGAGGAGAGCAGACTTAAGATGATGTATCTTCCGGGGTCAGGCGGACGATGGCATTAAATGGCAGCTCAGGTGCTGAAGTATTTCTGTGTGATGGTGACGATAGCTTAGCCTGCATGTTAGCGAGGAGCCGACAGTCAGGATCAGCTCTCTGATTTTTATCATTAGCTTGGAACATTTTTCATTTGCTAACGGAGAGAAGTTGAGTGGTTCCAGGTTTTGGGGGATTTGCTAATCTGTCCGTAGCAGCAAATAAGGCCCAGCTGTGGTTGATATTCCTGTTTATGGCTCAGGGCAGAAGGACTGTATGGAGTGATTTCCAAAATACAGATATGAGGTTCCCCCTTATAAATGTCACGGTGGATCTTTAGCATAGCTTTCCTGCATCTCTTTTCAGACTTTTGTATTTATATTTCTTCATTATACTTTGAATTTTCTCAATTTTCTCTTTGGGTGCAGTGGCAGCAGTAATGTTCACAGTTTTTGAATTAATGCTATCAAGCAGCATATCTGAAATCATGCCTGGTGTTATGGATGTAGCCTGCATGAGTAGAGTGATGCTGTTCTTATTAATGTACCATTTTTAAATAGAGACTTATCTAGATTGGATAATGAGAGAGAGCAAGAGAGGGTTTGGTTCTTAACCCAGGATATGCTGATATTCCGACTAATAACCAATTTCAGGGTGGGACCATTTACGTGCGTATAATTTGAAAAATGCCAAATACAATAAACGTTTCTTTGGTATTATTGTCCATGGAATTATCTGTGTGGGTATTAAAATCAGCCGGTATAAGACGACTGTTAAAGTCAGTGGTAATAATGGACAGCAGCTCTGTAATTAATACAAAGGAGAATATTTCAGATGGTAATTAGTAACACGCGTGGTCGTACCTATCAGCATAAAACGGACACGTTCAAAGGAGGTGTGATCTCGCGGAGATATTAGCTGGCATTGGAAGAGACTCAAAGCTGCACGATGTGTGATGTTAATATCGACATCGCATTTTATGCACAAGTAATTGTCACATGGCAAGGACCGCGATAGTGAGCTGGGCTGAGTCATCAATAAGTGACATCAATAAGTCACGCTAAAATATTTTTCTCGGTCGCAGGAAAAGACACTTGGCAAGCTTTGAAAGTTTAATGATTATTCATTTTTAAGATTATGCAGTATATGTTGCAAAGTCAATCTTTACTGACGCTGCTTTTGCATGAGCTCTGCACGTGCTCTCCCAGTCAATCATGTTCATCCTTGGTGTCGGACTTTGTGAGAAATTTAATAAAATGATTGAGGAGGAGAAACGCAAACAAGAGCTGATCCCCGAAAGACATTCGTCTTCCCCTGAATGTAAATATTTTGGATTTCATAGAGACGATATCAGTTGATTCATCGGCACTGAATTGTGTTTATCACAACTCGCCGCATCACCAATAACTTAACAGACTCTATTGTTCTGTAAATGTCGCAATATTTCATAAAAGTAAGTTAGGTGGGATAATTGCTCTGTTGCTTTTTGCTTTGACCAAAATCGTTAACATAAGATAAATAATTAAAAACGAATTATTGGTAAGAGATCTGACATTAAGATATGACATTAAGATTATACAATTCCTTGGTGAGACCTCACCTAGAATATTGTGTGCAGGTTTGGTCACCATATCTTAAAAAGGACATAGCGGCCTTAGAAAAGGTGCAGCGTAGGGCCACAAGAATGATTCCTGGTCTTAGAGGAATGTCATACGAGGAAAGGTTATTTGAGCTAAATCTGTTCAGCCTCAAGCAAAGGAGACTGAGGGGGGACATGATCCAGGTCTATAAGATTCTAACAGGTCTGGATGCTGTTCAACCGAATAGTTACTTTAGCATTAGTTCAAATACAAGAACTCGTGGCCATAAGTGGAAATTAGCGGGAGAACATTTCAAACTGGATTTAAGGAAGCACTTCTTTACACAGCGTGTAGTCAGAGTATGGAATAGTCTTCCTGATAACGTAGTGCAAGCTGAATCCTTGGGTTCCTTTAAATCAGAGCTAGATAAGATTTTAACAACTCTAAGCTATTAGTTAAGTTCTCCCCAAGCGAGCTCGATGGGCCGAATGGCCTCCTCTCGTTTGTATAGTTCTTATGTTCTTAAGGGTAGCTAAGTGTTTAATGCTGTTGTAACCATGAGATTGACACGGACAACATAAATGACATATTTGCCATGTGAACAGGCTACCGTCTATTCTCTTTTACTGAATAAGACAGCAATCTTAATTGCCACACGCAGGCTGGGTCCCAGCTTATTTTGAGAACAATCGGGTGTCATCACTATCATAGCAGGTTAACAGCGCAGCAGAATGCTGGTCTGTCGAAATCAGAGAGCTGTTTAGCAGGACTCAACTCCATGGCACCTGCCGTTCCACAATGACTCACTGTACTCTGTGTGACGTCCAGCTCCCTCAGGCTCCCCCTGGTGGACATAATTTAACTCTCCCTGACAAGGTGCTCAATTGACAGGCCATAAGGTACTCACTTAGCATGCAGCGCTCTTAACCAGTAGGTGGCACCAACGACCCATTGTCCTTCACTTCAAACATAAAGACCAGCCTTCTTTAAGATCTTGACTTGAATTTGACACGGAGATCTTTTCCATTAGTGAACCTCAAACCAGCATGTGGATGCTTTCTGTGGGTTTGGTTACTGCTAATAATTACAAGCTGCAGTTCCCTTAGCTACTTTTTTTGTGCAGATAAGTGAAATCTATTTAATTAACTTTACTTTGGTGCAGCACAGACCTCAGACAAATATAAAACGCTTAAACTTAATTGAGATAAAACAGCTGTTCCCACAATCCCATCCAACAATCAAGCCACGAAGCACAATAATTAATTGATTAATTAATATTTGTGTGATTAAAAATCTTAATTTACAAAACATCATCTGGCCCAGCACATGTCTCTTCAGAGGAACATAAAATGTGAATTCAGGGCAGGTAATTCATTTGGAAACATTGAGACTGAATTCTGCAAAAATTCCAGCCAAAGTGCACAAAGAAGATCAAAGTCCAGCATGGCTGCATAATGGCCTGAATTAAGTCCACCATACCAGCACAAGACTGAAACAGCCTCACAGAAAATCCAAGGGATGTGAGATGTTGCCCAGCCACCACAATCACCTCATTCAGGCCAGAGCTTTCCAGTATCCATGGATCTTGTAAATGCAGCTTCCGCATTTACAAGGGGGGGGCGGTGTCCAGCAGATTTATGAATGCCATCATGATTTGCCAAGGAGCATACAGGTGTCCCACTGATTTGTGCACATGGGAGTTTTACTTACACAAAAATGTTCTAAGGGCAGAAAGAAAAATGATTGGTTTTCTCTCTGAGCCAATCAGATTGTAGAGGCAGGTCCAACTAATCAGATATCTTGGTCCTGCCTTTTCTAGTTGCTTGGACCCACCTCTTCTACAATCTGATTGGTTATCTCTCTGAGCCAATCATTTTTTGTTCTGCTCTGAGAACATTTTTGTGTACTTAAAACTCCCACGGGCCCCTTGCCTGCTACGCTCAGCTCTGTGATGATGAGTGAGTCCAAGGTCATCATCAGCACTTAACATTCCCACAGCAAATGGTAACACACACAGATTAAGAAAGTACATCTCCTCAAGAGAACATCTCACAAACGCACTCACCTTGAAGTCAAACACATTCTTAATCTTACCTCTCCAGCCACAAAGAAGAGCAGGGGCGGCTCCTCCCCCTTGGCCTTGTGATTGGCCAGGATCTTCTCTGCTATTGGCCGGAGAAGCTCCCGCGCCGGCTCCAGCTCCGCCTCCTCCTCTGCATCTGAAGCCCAAAATGGCCGTAGGTCAGCTACAGTGATCTGGACCGTAAGTTGAAGGGGCGACAGCTGAGGTAAGAAGGAAGTGCCAGCAGAATTGACACATATTCTGACCAATAAGAAATGGTGCAAGGTTTGAAGGTGAAATGATGTTTTTTATTCCAATTTGTATGTCCTTTCTTGCTCTCCTTTGAGAAACACAGAGGCAACCATTTATGCAGCAGCCCTGGTGTAATCAGTGACCAAGGGACTTGCTGAAAGGTAGTGTCACTTTGCCAGCCCCAGGATTCAAACCAGTAACCTTCTGACCATGGGGACAGAGTCCTAACCCACTGAGCCACACACCACCTCCTGTAGCTTCCACGGGAATCGAACCCGGATCAGATGCTTTTATGGCAGCTATGCTAACCACTATACCACTAACACTTTGGGCACGAGTCGCTTCCTGTCCAAGCTGATAGACGTCCTGGCTGCTGCGTGCCGGTGCTCACCCACAAACAGCACCAGACAGGGCCCCTCGTGCAGCTGTGCGGCATTGGACTCGCTCAGGTCTAGCACGGGTCGTGGATGCCAGGGGAACCGCCAGCAGTTCGGGTCACTCAAGACCTCTGCGCGGCCCTGCCGCGTGATGACCCGGCCGTCCGTGTCCAGCAGGATCAGCGTGGGGATTCCTGGGGGGGGGGCGGGGGTCTGTCATGTGGCCAATCACAGTAAAGTACAGTCTCACAGGAACAGGTCATGTGGCCAATCACAGTAAAATACAGTCTCACAGGAACAGGTCATGTGGCCAATCACAGTAAAGTACAGTCTCATAGGAACAGGTCATTCCATTTTCTCTAGGCTACAACAGTGGTCTGAACCACGGAGATAAGCACCCATCCCCATAACTACGCTATTTCACCTTTCCCCATCAAAAACCAGGCCATATTACACCCATCCATCCATCCATCCATCCATCTTCCAAACCCGCTTGCCCTATACAGAGTCACGGGGGTCCAGAGCCTATCCTATAAAGTGAGGGAATAACCAAGGATTGGGCAGCAATTCATCGCAGGACACACACACACACACACACATACACACACACACACACCCCATTCTCGCATACATGCACAATTTAGCATATAGGGACAATTTGGCAACTCCAATTTACCTCAGGATGTTTTTGGAGGAGGAAAACTGGAGTACCCTGAGGATACCCCATGATGACATGGGGGGGACATGCAAATTCTATACAGATGGAGTCATCACAGAGACTTGAACCCTGGTCCCATGTTACACCATAAAGTAGAATCCCAGAGATCCTGAAATCCCCCCCAGCCCTCGATCAGGGTGGCAGTGAGGCGGGCAGGTACCCTGTATCCCATAGAGCCGGTTGAGCCGTGAGCGCCGGGCTTTGTCGGAGTACGGGACGGCCACCCAGGGCATCTCGCTCAGGTACTGCGTGAAGGAGTCCTCAGACCTGCAGGGGGCGCAGGAGAGT